ATATATATATATATATAAAAATATAAGAGTTCATAAAGTTTAATTATATTGTAAGATTATTTCCATATATTTTAACTGAGCTTCAAAACATAGTTATAACTGAAGCATGTCTTAGTGAAACACATGTGCAGATATTTGTCTTCATCTTCCTTTCAGAAAACTAATGCTGTTTTATGACTAAATGTTGGTAATTTCTTTATAATTTGAACTCATTTCTGCCCATTCAAAAGCTGAGAAGCTTTGATAAAAGGCTGTTCCTCTGTCATGCTGGAGCAAGTATCCAGATAACCGGTGAAGGAAATAAAAAGCAGCTCAAAACTGCAATACAATATGCAGATACAGTATGTAGTTGTTAGGCACTGATTTCAGTGAAGAGAGTCATGTGATGAAGAACTTTCTCCCCTTTGAAAGGCAGCATAAATCTAGTTTGTAGTAAAAGAAAGTTTACTTTCTTATTAATTTTTAAGTTAAGCCTGGGACTGTCACAAAATGAAGCACAAAAGTCAAAGTAAATAACAGTTAATGTGGGAGTGAGATTGACTTGAAAAGATTATGGGGTTAACTCTTGTTTAGTAAGACACGGTATGTTCTTGGGGGAAATTTTTAATGAGAAAAATGGTAACTTTAATAGAGATATGGTGGTATTAAGAAGATGCTAGCTACATTTTACAAACCTACACAATTCAACATCAGTAAATAAATATGGTTACGCCAATATGAAATACTCCTAATACAGGACCTTTTCCAGAAGCAATGTTCTATTTCAATGTAGAATTTTGTGGCATAGGAAGAGAAAGCATACTATTTTTCTTTCAGATTTCACATGGATCTCCAGTTGTTCAAACCATCAGTGTCAGTGGCTATCTTATATCCTAGCTCACATTTCGAAGGTGGCTGTCTTCCCATATTCAAAATTCCACTGAGATACTCTCTAAGAAAGAGTAGAACTTTATCTGCATTTTTATATGCAATATACCTCTGTGTAAAAGGAAAATGTTCACTACTTACAGACTACTTTCAAAAGCAAGCCTCTTGGCATTTTAAAAATTATTATTAAATTTATTTTATTATTATTTTAATTATTACTAGATTTTAGACTGTCACCTTTTTTTCAGTTGCTATTTTGTGATCTACTTGTCTTCCCATTGGAGAATGCAAATGCTTTGCACTAACAAAACATTTTTAAATTATTCAAAAAAAAAATTTTACTTGGAGGTTTTTTTTCTCCTTAGGTAAAGGAAAATAATAGTCAGAGGCTAGACGACCTGCACAAGGTCATGCAATGAGTCAAGCAGAACTTTGTCTCTGCTGCATACTTCTAATGCCAAATCACAGCTTTGTTAAATATAAGTTTCACACCCAACTCAGCCAAGTGTGCCCTAAAAGTAGTTTGCTATCCAGCTTTGTCAAAACCTATAGTCTTCACATTTCACCAGGTTAATGTGATTTAAAACTAAAAAAGGGCAAATTGTTATGAAAATAATTACAAATACTCTAGAAATCTAGCAAGAAGGATGTGTATAATACAAATTTCATCACTGATATCTATTTATGTTTTTGTTGCTTTCAGAGTGCCTGTGAAGATGACGACAAAAGCACCAACGTTTACACAGCCATTACAAAGTGTTGTGGCACTGGAGGGTAGTGCCGCAACCTTTGAGGCTCATATTAGTGGTAAGCCTTTGATTAATTCTTGCAGATTGATTATTTTAATTATTTTTAATAACATTTATGCTAAGCCAAACAATTAACACTTTTTGGAGATCATAATCTAAAATGAATGAATAAATAGCAGTGCTGGAATATTAATATATAACCACCTCATACGATACTGACGAGCAGTGTGAGTTGCTATCAGATATCCACAGACATGCTGCATAAAGTTACAAGGCCTCCCAAGCAACAGCAAATCATCCTGCCAATGAGAGCACTGTCTGCTTCTCATGTGTCTTAGAATCATCAGAACTGGGGAGAAATAACATTAAAAGTATATACATAAAAATTCATACTGTGCTAATAAGGGAACTTCATTTAAGCACAGAGAGAGTAATCTTGCTTGGATGTTGATCAGACAGAATGAGGATCAAGGTGCACAAGACAAAGCGTATAAGGCATATGCAAGTTCTTTGTTGATTTGGTGTTAAACCTTACTCCAGCTAAGCTGTATTTCTGTGTTCTGTGCCTTTGAGCTTACTTAATTCCAGAGTTCTGGTAGGGGGTTTGAAAGCACAGAGTCTAGGTCCACATGGACACTGGGGAGGGAGGAAGACACTAACTTGCTAGATGGTAGATGTGCTTAGTGATCAAGTAATGCAATTTAAATATGCTACATAATTTTAAAGAACAGTTCATTTTGCCAGTCTACACACTACTAAAACACCCTGTCTTGTGCAAAACCCCATGCAACTGGCTAACATAACTTTACCAGATAACCAACACCCTGTTCTAAGTGTGCCTCTGACCTCAGCAGTGACTAAGGAGAAATGACACATGGTCCTGCTGATGGAATTATATTGTCTTACAGGCATTAGCAATGTGATGATCCACATACCATAAAACACCACTCATATGCTCTGTGACAGGTGCAAACACATGATATGTCCAGCTATAAAGATCTCTGACATCTGTGGTTCACTGTGTTTCATCCTGTAGTCCTTTTGGATAACACTAACTCACACAAGGTGTTTGAACATGTTCTGTAGTCAATATTCATGATTTTTTTTCATGCCTTATTCTGTTATTTGATCTACTATTCGGTTAATTGCCCTGACCTTCTCTTCTCTGTACACTGTAAATTATTTGTGAAAAGTTTCTTTCCAGTGATGATTACAATGCTTGTTTTATTACAAATATATAAATATATCAAAACAAGTTAGGATGCTAATATTAAGGCTCAGTGTGCGATTCTGGTTCTTTTAATTTGTGTGATATCATGGCGTACTTGGGAGTGGGAAAACCTGATTTCTAAGAAGAGATAACAGCAGTTTTTCTAATAGCATATACCATATTTGTATTTTAGCTTCAAATACCATGTGAGGTAATCTTCTGTTAATGGTTAATTCTATTGTGAGATTCTGGAATAGTTTTCCTGCCTCAAAAGTGTTCACCAAGATCTGACAGTGTATTGACATTTAATTTTTTAATAAATAAAAAAAAAATGAAAGTTTTCTTTCTTGAAGTAATTGCATAAATAATGGAATGCACAGCTTTGTTCTGCTACATTGTCTGCCCTTTCTAGCTGTCATGAACTGATGTGAATTTGAAATTCAAGCTTTCTTTTTATGTCTGATAACACTGCTCTTTTATATACAAGTATTAATACACAACTATAATTTGAACTTGAAGAACCCAGTTAATCTAAGAGTATCAAAAAAAGTTTAGCAACCAGCGGAGGTGCAATTTTGCAGTCTGCACACTAGAACTAATGAATTCACTGTTGTATCAGACTGTGAAGTAAGTGCCACATTTCAAAAGTTTTGACATCAGACCTAAATACCCAGTACCTTCCCCTGCACTCAGAAAGTGCAGAACACGCAAACCTGGTGATTAAAAGCGGCACACGCCAGAGCAGCTGGGACATCATCATAGGCAGTGCCCTACTTGGACAAGCAGTGGCTGAGTGGATGTGAGACAGCACGTCACTGTCAAGAAAGTCTGTAGTGCTGCTGGCATTAGACCTGTGCCCAAACTCACGTCTGCAGTACTGATCAAATATTGCATTTGTTCATAAAAAATTAATCTGTACTCTGCTTAACTGTGTCTGAATCTATACTTTCAGATATCCCTCAAGGCAAGACAGCCTTTACACTGCCTGTTGTTGAAAGCTGCACATCCATTGTTCACAGGACGGCAGTTCTCACATTGCTCTCAGGACAGTCTCACCGAGTTTAGTTACATAAGCACTGAACTTGAGGCACTTCAGGTTCATTTCCTTCTTCTTGACAATAAAGCTCAAAACCCCTCAAGGACAGTTTTAAAATTAAAAAGAACATCCTAATAATTAATATTCAACTCATAGTGTTATTTGGCACCTATAAAAGTAAGTCCCTACTCTATGTAGTCCATGCAAAAATATCTGTAATCTGAGGTAGACCTTACTGTTTAGTGCCCAGCTCTGTGACATCAGACTAGAAAAGTGATAGCAAATGGGTGAAGTTGAGTTTCTTTTAATATGATTTTTTTTTCAAAACGGCTTCTAACTTTGAGTCCCTTGAACATACTAGTTTGAGACATCAAAATAGACTTCATTTTTAAAATAGAGGCCTTGATCAACCTACCCCACAATCACCCATGTTTGCTAATCATCATCTGATGCTTCACCAAGAAAATAAAACATGAGTTTTGATTGCCTAGCTTAAAATATTTTGAAACCCATTTGTACAAATGTTGAAGACACCGAGCTCTGGATGAAATCAGTGGGATCTGCTGTATACTCTGGGACAATAATATCCAAGTTGTCCTATATCAGCAATACAAAATCGAGTGACACCAGCCCCCTCAGGACTGTTTAGTAACTTTCATTTGTGAAATTAACAACGCTTAAATGTACTTTTACCCTTTTTGATCTCTCGTCCTCTCTAAAACCGGCCGTGGTTTTTTTTTGTTTTGTTTTTTTTTTTTTCCTGTGTATGTGTGTTTCTATTTTGCACGTATCTAAAATTCAGTTTGTTAACTATGAGCAAAATGTAAAACTTTCCTAACCAAGTCTGGCGTGACTTCAGACAACCAGTAAAAGCTTCAATCTACATATCTCAGCTTCTCTTTCATTTTAGACTCACATAGTCATATTCCTGACACATTAAAATCCCAAATAATTGAACGAGTCTATAGAAGGGATCCTTTAGAAAGGAAGCATAATTCTGTAGGCTTTGGGTTTTCCAAACCACAGAGTGTGGAACTGGGAAAATTAGAGCAGCTGAAGTAACTGCAGTCTAACATCTCCTTCCTGAGCCCCTCTGCAGTGCAACTGGTGACTTGACTTGAGTAGAGAAGTACAAGAAGTAGATTTGCAGGGATTTCCATTTTGGAAAAATCTTGTTCTAGGTCTACAAAAAAAGATTTTGAACTGGAACTGTCTCCTTAAATTACCTGTTCTCCTTATGTAGCAAATACGAAATTTTTACCTGTTTGTCAAATGGATTCCAGTTTCCTAGTAAAGTTGGTTGAGTAGAACACTGGGATGAGAATTTCTACTAGAAATCTAAAATCATCATTTAAAATGGAGGAAAAAAAAAAAAAAAAAAAAAAGAAGAAGAAGCAAAAGCTGTAGGTATATATAGGTGAAACTCTTCTGACCAAAAGAGTCTTGCTCATGACCCTGACAACAAAAGAATAATATATTTGGAAAAAAAAAAAAAAAATCGTCTGATTCCAGCTAAACTGCTTTCCACCAAACTCAAACAGAATGAACGCTGGAAAAAAAAGAAACAAACCCCTGAAACACTAATAGCGTTTGATGGTAATGTCCACAACAGACACTTTTTCTGTCACTTCATTTTCTAAAATCATATAGTATCAGGACAACAGCTTAGTTGGTAGTTCTGATTTTTACTTTCTCTCCGAACTATTGAACTGCACAATTTTGTTAGTGATAAGAAATACTACTTAGATACTAGCAAATAAATTAAAAAATACCTCATGAATATTAATTCATCCCCCTCATAATTTTGATGAACTTTTTATGCTCAACAGAACACCACAGTTGACTCATTATTCAAGGGATTTCCTAAATGCAGTAGCCTGTGCAGTTGTATTTTAAAGACCTTTCTCCGAAGAAATTCCTTTACCCTTGTATCACTATAATAGATCTATGCCTGTCCCCCTACACTATAACTGTGACTAAGTGAACAAGTATTATGGTAATTTTAGATGTCTGTCATTTCATAGCATCTTAATCTCTTTTTGTCTCCCTTTTTCTTTAGGTTTCCCAGTTCCTGAGGTGAGCTGGTATCGGGATGGCCAGGTTCTCTCTGCTGCAGCTCTGCCCGGTGTGCAGATCTCGTTTAGTGATGGCCGCGCTAGACTGGTGATCTCCGCCGTGACAGAAGCCAACAGTGGAAGATACACCGTGCAAGCCACCAATGGATCTGGGCAAGCAACTAGTACCGCTGAGCTGCTTGTCACAGGTACCCAGTAGCTAAAGAAAGGCACATCTCCCCAGCAGCAGTGTGGGAAAGGGAGCAGCAGCAGGGGAGTCACAGATAACAAAAAAAAATTTTTGAAGTACATGATCAGCAAAGAAACAATTTTAAAAATTCCTTTCCCTAAAACAGTCTAGAATTCAGCAGATAGTCTCACTAGTAATTTCTAACAGCATCCTTTACACCTTAATTGTATAAAGCTTGATCTTGATCTTATGAACTCTTAATCACCACTACAAACTTCTGATTTAGCCCTGTAGAATTTTGCTCATGTGATCTGCCACACTGGTTACGTTCAAACTACACATGCAAGAAAGGACAAAGTTCTGCTGTTCTTCGTAATATTTGATGATATGACTGATACTTAACAGAATAACTCACATACAGGGCCATATCCAAGAGACTGTGCTTACTGCCTATGATTATAATCAATATAGCTCTACTTCTAGAAACATTTGCAATTATGGGAATAATCAGAAATATCAGCGATTTTAAACACGTGAAAAACGTTAAGGGTGTTTGCACTTTGGCAAACCGAGTAATGTTTTTAATGTTTGAGAAGGTAGTATCTTCTGTCAGCAGCATGTGAAGGAGAAATAAAACTTGTGCACTTCTGGTGATGAAAATATCTAGCCCTTACAGTTCTTTCTAACAGCCGTTACTGTTTTCTTTTTTTATTTCTTCAATAAAACTGCAGCTGGAACAGCACCACCAAACTTCTCACAACGACTACAAAGCATGACTGCAAAGCAGGGAAGTCAAGTTCGTCTTGACGTGAGAGTGACTGGAATCCCTACACCTGTGGTGAAGTTCTATCGGGATGGAGTAGAAATTCAAAGCTCTCCCGATTTTCAAATTTTACATGAAGGAGACCATTACAGCTTAATAATTGCAGAAGCATACCCTGAAGACTCCGGCACCTATTCAGTGAATGCCACAAATAACGTGGGACGTGCTACTTCAACAGCTGAATTGCTGATTCAAGGTAACAAGAGTAGAAGATTCAAGTCATGAGAATAAGACAGCATTCATTGTTGTAATGTTAGAATGCATACCACTTCATCAAGCTGACATTCAATAAGTTAATTTATAACTTTTTTTCTCCAGAGTTATTAACTTGCTGTGAAAAAAAGCAGTGTCTTTGGTGAAATTTGCCAAATATTTTTGTCTGAGAATTTAAAAGGACCTTTTGTCCAGAATAGGTATTCTTTAAACAGGGTATACAGTAGACCACTTTCAGTTGGTCTCATTTTGTTCTGTAGGTTTCTCAGGGATGTATCTGTATGCCAGCTTTGATAGAATAGATATATTAGACTGTGGAACTGTACATGGTCTTACAAATGAGCCTGATAAGGATGAAGACAGTTCTTGGAGAATTGTAGCAGTGAATCATTCTTCCCAGAGCAGTCCTGCTTAGATTTCACATCACTCAAGCTTCCAGTCTGTGTAGTCATCTGAGATCCAGGACTGATTTGGAAGAATCAACAATAAATGTGTTTTGGTTTGGTTTATTTGGGGTTTTCTTCTAATAACATAGTAATGCAGAAATATTATTTTGAGTGTTTTTACAATTACCTGTCTATAGATACTGCAGGGAAAACAGACGATTGCTTAATTCTTTCTCTGTTGTTTGTAGAAATTTGTATATAATTGGAATTGCCCATTCATTGTTTCTGCAACTGCATATTGTTTGTTGCCATACTCAATTCCCCTGACCCTGTTCTCTCTTCCAAAAGGTGAGGAAGAAGCCGTTCCTGCCAAAAAGACAAAGACAATTGTTTCGACTGCTCAGATTTCACAAACAAGACAAGCCAGAATTGAAAAGGTATATTTTTCAAAACCAAAGCAGGTAAGGCTAAAATATAGACAATTACTTTTACAGTATCTCAGACTTGGTTTCTTAATTTCGTTGTAGAAGACTGAAACCCACTTTGATGCCAGATCACTTACAAGTGTTGAAATGATCGTGGAAGGTGTGACAGCTCAACAGCTCCCACACAAAGCACCTCCACGAATGCCTCCTAGACCTACGTCAAAGTCACCAACTCCACCAGTAATTGCTGCAAAAGCACAAATGGCACGACAGCAGTCACCATCACCTGTTAGACAATCGCCATCACCTGTAAGACATGTCAGAGCACCAACACCCTCACCAGTAAGGTAAACGTACTCTTTCATACAGAATTGCTTTTTGAATCACTTTCCTATGTAGCGGTAGTGCCACAGAATGAAAGCATAATGTGAAATGGAAGAATGCACTGACTTGACACTGACTTGAGTTTATGCTGGTGGTAAGCTGTAATGTGCAGTGCTTGCCACTGCTATAGGATTGTGTGCCTCTTATGGAAGTTTCCTGTCCCATGTAAAAAAAAAAAAATCCTTTAGAGAATAAATGCCGTTTGATTGCTTTACATACAGCTGAAGTAGTACTCAAAGCTTAAAGTTAATGATGAAAGACAAAAAACCAGTAGGGCAGTTTGCCCTTGATTATTTTAGATTAACAGAGAAAAGAGCAGTGACACTGCATGGCAAACAGGTTGGAAAGTTATGTAAAAAAACATGAACACGTGTGGTGGTAGTGACTGCAGAAATAATGTTTTGAAAGTAGGCAAGGTAAATGTGGTTACAGAAGAAAAGATGTTTAGTTCTGCTGCATAAAGGGTCTTGATGGGGAAAGTGAGCAATCTGAAGAGCAAGGCTCTCTCTGGGAGACCTCAGGAGGTCTGTGCCAAGAGGCAGGCAAAAAGAAAATTACCTTGAAAGTCCTGCAGTTTCAGAATCATGCAGAACCAGCATTGTGGAAGGAATGTCTCCAAGCTGAGAGCTCAGAAGAGCCCCATTTAAATTGCCAGAGCTAGGAATGTTGGTGAATTTTCCCCCACTGAGAATAACTTGCAAGGATAAGAGATGGATTGATAGTAACTGGCAATAACTAAGTGCACAGATGAAGGAATAATTAAATAGTGCCATCTAGAGTGCATGTAGAATTAGAAGTTTGTGCTCCACTGGTAGTCAAACCACTTTCACCTGTACATTACACAAGAAATAGAACATTCCCAGGATGCTGCTGCCCCCCACTGTTGTAATTTGTTAATGTAATCTGGGAAATGCAGTATAAAAAAGAAAATTCAAAGAAAATCTAAGTTAGAAAGACTGTTAAAGCATATTGAAAAATACTTTTAAAATGTCTGCTAAGATTTGGATTTAAGTTTTTGAATACAAAATTTTAGAAACTAGTACTTTCCAAGTGGGTACCAATTCCTCTTGCTGAGATTTGTAAATGTAAGAATGGGAAAAAAATATAGGCTTGCCTGGAGCCTGAACGTGTGTACGGATGGCACGTGGAAATGAGATGTGGTGCAGGAGTAGGTACGGTGGTGTGGCTGCTACATGGTACTACATAATATTCTTGTGAAGACTGGTTACACTAGTAATTTTGTCCCTCTGCAGAACCAGACCACAAATACAATATCATAGCTTCTAAGACTTCTGTATTATTCATATTAAAATAATTAAGACAGAGCAAATGGAAATAAAAAGTGTATTTTTATATTTTAAATATACATGTTTGAGTGAAATGCCCTTTGACACTTGCCCTTAATTTGCTTTGGGAACCTAACCAAACTACAAATATGCGTTACAGCAATAAGTGTGACAGAAACACATATTAGGTGTAGTGTTAAAAACAAAGAAGTGTAATTTACAAGTAGAAGACCTCAAAAACGTTTTCAAATTCAAACTACAAAAAGTACTGAAGGTACACTAAACGGAGTTCTTTATACAGGTGTCATCATATGACACTCCATTAATCATATTAATACTTTATATTTTCTTTAGATCGGTTTCTCCTGCTGGAAGAATTTCCACCTCGCCCATCAGACCAGTGAAATCTCCATCTCCAATCCGTAAACCACATGTAGTGACAACTGGGGCTGATGTCCTTCCTCCTTGGAAGCAGGAAGGATATGCTGCAACCACAGAAGCCCAGATGAAGGAAACAAGAGTATCTACAAGTGCTACCCAAATAAGAACTGAAGAAAGATGGGAAGGGAGATATGGGGTCCAAGAACAAGTTACCGTTAGTGGTGCTGCTGCTGGTGAGGCTGCAGCTGGTGCTAGAGAGGTAAGGTCTATTTTTGGAAAAAGCCTATTGGAAAGAGTCTGTTTTTTGGTTTTGTTCTGTGTGGACTCACCACTGCTGCACAGAATTGCTAAATGGGGTCTGAGTCTGCTTTTGAGACAGTTATGCTGCAAATATTTAAATGCTTCGTTGCAACATTCTGTCACTGTACTTGTTTCGTGCTTCTTCTGAATGTATGTCAAACATGAAAAAATGTTCTTTGATGTGACTAATATAGGTGAGAAAGGACAGTGAAAAAACAGCAGCTGTTGCTACAGTTGTTGCTGCTGTGGATCAAGCCATGGTGAGAGAACCAGCTCCAGGTGCTATAGAGCAAACTGCTAAAAGGACAGCAATGACTGCAGTCCACGTTCAGCCTGTTCAGGAGCAGGTAGAAACAGAGCACAGACACTCCATCATTTTCCCTTTATCCCTTCATCCAACATGCAAACAAAGCATGATTCACTGTGAGGAATTAACAAGATATGACCCAGTGCAGTGCCAAAGCATGCATACTCCTATAGAGCATCTGGACTGTAAAGGAATGTTCGTGGATCACTTACTCCATTGTTTTCCATCATAGCAGCATTGAACTAATTATTCTTAAACAGTTTTTAAGTTTAAGAATGCCTTCTATGAAACTGATCTTGTATTCTCCCTTCTCATTTACTCTCTAACACTTTTCTTACACCAATGAAGTTTTTCCTCTAATATCTCATTTATAATTTTCCCACTAGGAGTGAAATAATTCTCCCTTAGTATTTTTCCTTCATTTGCATTCCTCTCTTGTTTTTCCTTCTCCTCTTCTTTTGATGATCAATTTGTTAAAATTAATTTTAAGGCTTTGGGTTTCTTTGTTTGTTGCTATAAAAATCAGATGACAAAGGAGGAAATGGTAGTAGTTACCAGTGATAAAGCTGCAAAACAAACACTAATATCAAGAACTAGAGAAGGATTTGTTACTTCACAAGAACAAAGGCACATCTCTTATGAAAAGGTGAATACAGATGTTACTTCTGATTGTCATACCCTACCTTGTTCAAAAATCTAATATCTCATCAAAAAGACAAGGCTATAAATAAGACAAATGTCATACCTTACTATTTTTTCTTTTAATTCACTCTTCTTTTACTTTTATTCACTCTTCTAGTTTATATTGTTATTGTTCTTCTATCTCTCCTTGATGATGACTTTCCTTCCTTTATTTAATTTCCATTATTAATACCTAAGAATGTGATAGATAACCTTGCAAGACATTAACTTAAAAAAAACAAAACTTTTTTTTTCCCTGTTGTATGGTGAATTACTAGACAGTACTCCTAATAATTTAAAGAACTGACATGTAGGAAATATCCCTTCAATATATATTTTTTTTTTTAATGTTGTTTCTAAGCTTGCCATTTGTAGCCTGCTTTCTTTGTTGGCAGCACAGTGGGTCAGAAAAAGAAGGAAAAACTCATTCTGCATTGAAATCAGTTTTGAAAATACTGAGGAGTGATTTGAATTCAGATTATTTTAGCATGTATTTTATCAGACAAATGTGATTTAATGGAAAATCAGCTTTTATAGAGAAATGTTACACTTGCATTCTGGCTAAAATGCATATAGAAGAAAGTGTAACATGTGTTTTAAATACTGAGAAACAGAAATCCACCTGGGAAAAAAAAAAACCAACATGTTTACGTGCAGATCACATCTGAACTTCTTGGCAAAGTGAAAGTTACCTAAAACTTGTTTTCGATATCCTACACTTATACATATCCTCAGTTTAAACTGATTATGTGGGACAGTTTTTCTCTGATCCATTTTTTTTGCTACTGCTTTCAGTAGCAAAGGAAACATTTGTGGAAAATTTTACTATTTTTATGCAAAAAGTCTAACGGTTTTATAGAAGTCTGCTTATGTTGTTATTGTTGTTTCCAGACTAGATGACTTTGAAATCTGCATTTTAACATTTTTCCTCTCTTTCGTTTGTATCTTCTTTTCCAAATACATTGAAGATCACTTTCTATTTTAAATCAAAATATAATTTAACATTCCTTATTTGTAAACATCCAGGTAAGAAAGGAACCAGAGAAAACTCCACTACCCACAGTAATAACTGCCACAGACAAAGCCAAAGAACAAGAAACATTATCACGAGCTAGACAAGAAATATCTACCAGACATGAGCAGGTGCACATTACTCATGAAAAGGTAAATAAATGTTACAGACGTTTGTAACTCATTATTGCACTCTAATAAATTTATAAAACCTCATTTTTCATCAAATGTGCTACTTACCTGTGTTCTGCTTCTTTATGGAGAGAAGATTACAAAACTAAACATAAAGGAAAGTATTCCAGATATAGACCCTGACTATATCCAGATATATCTGAAGCGAATAGTGCTTCAGATTGGGTTCTACTGATTTCATTACAACTCTGTCTACAGAGGAAGACAGAAAGAAGAACCCTTCCTACAAATCCTTCAGTCATTATAGCTTTTATTGCCAGAGTACTCAGAATTTCATCTGATGCTTAATGAACTTTGCTTTTTGTCTGAAGGTAGCTTTCTGAAGATATTAAATTATTTTATTATTATACTATAATATAATTATAGAATAGTATAAGAATGATTATTGTTACATAATATAATTATACTATTATGATGCAAAAGTATCTCATGGTATGATGTTTGTGTGGAGTTTGATTTAATGAATTTCATATTTGTGCGAGAGATGAATGCATCTGCTGGACCATATTGTGGAACCTTGTTTGCTGGAGTAGCTGATGAAATAGTTCCGTCTACTGATGGGAATAAATATTAAGTCAATAATAGTCGTTTTCATACAGTTTCTGCAAAACATAAGAAGGATATACCACAATTAACTATGAACTGGGAAAATTCTTCTCTAATTCACATACAGATTAATGCAATATGTTAATAACTTGGGATGCACTTTGTTCACCTAGCATATAATATAGGCAATAATTTGATCTGTACAAAGGAATTATTCCATTTCTCAGCTGTTTTTCTCTTATTGATAGACATTCTGAAACCTTTCCCAAAAAGCTGTGTAATTTTGAGAACAGGCATAATGGATTGCTATTCTTTTTCTTTACCATAAAAACTAGATAAGGAAGGAAGATATGAAACCTTCTGTACCTAAGGTAGTAATTACCACTGATAAACCTAAACCACCGGTCATAGTATTGAAAAGTAAAGAAGGAATTACTACCAAACAAGAACAAGTGAGCATAACTCATGAAAAGGTGAATAGCACTGTTACAACCACATTTGGGTTTTTTTATCCTCTCTTTACAAACCTTATGTGTCCCTCAAAAAATACTAACTATACATTTCCAGCTCATTTTTTTCTAAGATTTTTTTCACTTACAAACTTCCGGAACTACTCTTAATTTGACCATATTATTCTACCTCTACCTTTTTCTCCTAACCCGTTATTAATAACATGCCCGTAATTATCTTTTGACCGACCTTTTGAATGGATTGACTGACTCCTGAAGTGCATTTTAACTTTTTTAAGAATCATTACTTCTATTTAAATAGGGTTTAACAATCTTTATCAATATACATATAATACAGAGCTGTGTGCAGTGCACAAGGATCTAACCTCTTAATTCTCCATCCCTGTTCCCACTCCAAAACGCTTTTCCATTGTACAAATATCTTTCAAGATCATATGTAACTGAAACTTTTATTTCTGCTATAATGATTAGATCGAAAAGGAAGCTAAGAAAACTACTGTAGTTCCGAAAATAATTGCCACTGATAAAACCAAAGCACCAGTGTCCAGAACTCGAGAAGAAATTACAGCCAGCCAACAAATTCATCTAGCTTATGATCAGGTGAATACATCTGTTGCAGATGTGAGATGCACTGTTACAATTTGTTTTATCTGCAAACCTCACCTTTTAAGAACTACCTGGATACAGTAGAATGCCTTCAGATACATTCCTGATAACATACCTGTTAAGTGGGAACACTCTCACCCTGTTAGGCGATGCCACTTATAAGACTACAGCTGGATTTCTCTGTGAAAGTTTATTCTCTAAATTTTTTCTATTGTAATACAGCCAGGAGCATTTGTATGTGGGAGAAGAGCAGTGTGGTCAACAGCTCTTATTTAAAGTCTGTCTATCTGCTTTGTCAAAAACAGTATGATCTATTCAGAAAATACTTTTGTAAAATATAATTAAAAGAGCATAGCATACAAAACTCTCTAAGATGAGTCAGACTGCTAAGAGATTACAGTTACTTATTGGATGATGTAAATGTAGAGCCAAATTCAAGTTGGTATGAACAATCATTTTGAAATCAACAATACTGAACAAGAGGTCCCTGTTACCTAAATACTACTTTAATACTAAAACAGAACCTCTGTAAATAATAATGTTTTGGCCTTCCTCAAGTTATTTTCATTTAAGGCAATAATGATTTTACATTCAGCATGAAAGGATTTTTTCCACATCTACAAGGCATGTATTTCATATGCTCTGTTGCTACATCCAGATCAGTTATGACAGTAACAATAAACATTAGTAGTAATTTGGACCCTTATAACATACAAATTGACTGTATTAGTTATTAGAAGCAAGTAAAAGTTCTGGTACAAATGTATTGTTTCCAATTTCTCAGAAAGATCCATTTTCCTGCTTTTGTAAAATCATTTAAAATAGAATAGCACCGAATTAGCAGATATGCCTGTAGTAAAATTTTTTATAACTATACTCCTTAGTAAATACATTCATATCATATGCTAGACATGTTCTCTACACTTTTAGTAGCACCTACCAGTTACATGGAATTGATGAGTATACTGACTTTAAAATTCTGTGCACATTTACATACTTGCTCTAATCTTAGGCAAGTAGCCATAAGTGTGACTGTAAAGTATTGAGTGGGCTTGCATACAAATATTGATATGTATAAAGCACAAAAGCATAGATATGTTCTGAACACACATAGATAGAGCTTAGAAAAAAATATGTCTACACTTGAATCTGTTGATTCTGAGTTGTATTTGAGCATGAATACTTTTGATGTTTACATTATTTTGCATATCTTTACATTCTCTTTGGAATACACTTTCCTGAGCATTATAAATACTTGTCATATATGCAAGCACTTAGTGATGATTACTTACAAATTCTGTCAACATTATCTGTAGACTGAAGCTGGAAAAAGAGCTGAAGCTGTAGCTACAGTAGTTGCAGCAGTTGATCAGGCACGTGTTCGATCACCCTGGGAAACTGAACAAGCAGATGAAGCTTATGTAAAGCAGAAAACTTTGGAATATGGCTATAAAGAGCATGCTGTAACAGACCATGTTGCTGAGGCCCCAGCAGAACGTCATGTCGTCACTAAAGAAGTTAAAACTGTCTATGTTCCTCCTGAGAAACATATCTCAGCTACTGAAAAGAAGGAAGTTCATATATCCACAGAGGTTAGGCTCAGTTTCCGCTGCATTCTTTTCCAAAATCTATGTCCCAGTGAAATCTGTTTCAGTTTGGGGAACAACATCATATTCACAACAACCTTTTCCATTGCTTTGTGTAGATAAAAAGAGAAACAGAAGCTAAAGCTGAGAAAACAATTCATGTTGAACACCCGCGACCTCGCACAACAAGTCCTCATTTCACAGTCTCTAAAATTGCGGTTCCTAAACCAGATCATACATATGAGGTAAGAAGTGAAAATTGTATCCAACAAGAACATCATGCTCATTTATAATGTGGTAGGTCACCTGTACGGGTCTATTTGACTTTTTCTCCCACTCCAGTATGGTGCTTTCCCAAAAAGAAGAGTCGTATGCTCTCTACAGTTGTTTTTGTTGACTTGTTTGACTAATAAAGAGCAGTTTTGTAAACAGACACATTAAATGCTAAAATATGATTTGTAATGATTAGTTATTTAAACAAGCTTATCCTCTGTTTAAGGATGCGGCTTCGATACTTCGTATCATACAGTCGAATTGTAAACATTTGTCATGCAACTTACATTTTCTAAAGAGCAGAGGAATTCCTCTTCACAGTTATTGTTCACATCCATTCACCAGCATAAGAGTGTTTCTGTCTTTCTTGCCAATTGCTACATGCTAACCTAATTTTTGAAAGAGAAAATATAATATGACACATAACAGGACAGCATAATATGACACCACTCATTTTTAATGTTATTTTTTCTATCCTTCTTTTTGACTCCTTCACATACTATTAATAGTTCCCATTCAGTTAATTTTCTTATTTAAATATACCCTCTCTCTTCACCTGAACTTTAAAAATGAGGTTTTTTCCCTCAAACATAATTAAATGCTATAAAAATTACCTCAAATAGTTTTTCTTTAAATATTTTTGTTTTCTGAAGTTATTACACCTACAATAACATATTGAAATCTCTTCAGTTATTTTAATCACTGATAGTTACGTCATTAGTAGTACTGTTTATTGCAGCATCAGACTGATTAAATGGAAAACTAAGGCCTCAAGTGAATGAAAAAAGTGTAATGTTTCTCATGTTGCACTTAAGATCTTCTTGATCATCTAGAGATCAAATTCTAGAGTAAAAAAGAGAAAATATTTGAATGTTAGACACATCAAAAATAATATGAGTCTATTATATCTCAGTATTCTACTACTACAATCTGAAACTAGAATTCATTTTTATATATATAGTGTTGGCAGTGTCAAATAAGTAACCAAGTAAGCAACTGCTCAAGAAATATACTGTCTCCTTTGAAAACAAGAGAACAACAAATCCACAACTCCTTCTGTTCTGTTCTCTAGGTTTCAATAGCTGGATCTGCCATGGCTACTCTGGAAAAAGAGCTATCAGCCACCTCTGCTGTGCAAAAGATCACCAAGCCTGTGAAACCACCTCAGCTAAAGCCACACGAAGTCAGAATAAAAGCAGAGCCAGCTGCCCCTCCACAGTTTCCCTTTGGAGAGGCTGTTGAGACCTATAAAAGTCGCTATGATGTTGAAACCAAAGAAGAGACAGGTGTAAGCATTAAAAGTGAGGCAGTGCGAGAAGAACACTTGGTGCTGCGGAAAGAAGGTGAAGCGAAGGTATGTTATTAACCAAATTTCCATCACTTTGACAGACTGTCATCTTAAAAACGTAGCATTGCCTCACTAGTTTGCTGTTCCTCTTTGCAATTTTCCACTTTTAGAGCATTCTGCTGACATTTATCTTTGTTGTTTTACACAAATTCTTCTAAGGATCCAATATTTACCTATGATAGCAAAGAGTTCTCTTTACCTAATTTCTTATCTAAAGTCTTGGGGGATTTGTTTTTAAGGATAACAAAGTCCTTGGCTTTGTTAGGTGTTTACTAACTGTGCTTTAAACTACCTAGGTAACAGAAACTGCCAGAATTCCTGTGACTGCAGAAATCCCTGCTACTCCACCCACCTTAGTCTCAGTAAGTAACTTGTATGTATTATGAGGGAGTTACAGTTTTCAACTGTTTTGTATTCTAACTTTTACCTTTGAAAACCTGACCATAAAAATTTGGTTTTATGTAATCTTTTTAACTCTGTCTTAGATTTACTCAGCCATACATTTTTTTTCTGTATTTATCAAACTATTCTGAATGTCTATTATGGGAGTGATTCTTCACAATTATGTCACATAGTAGGTTGGCTTTTGCTGTAGTGAAACAAGTTCTCACTATGATCTGCATAAACATCCACATATCTTTTAATTTTCTTCTTAATAACAGTAACATTCAGAGATCCCAAATCCATTTTCAAATACTTCTCTTTGGAAACTGCCTCTTTTTTTTTCATAGATAAACAGCTGAACAGAACAGTGTTTTGAAGCAGACATTACATTTTCCATTCAGATAGGTTTTAGTTATTTAAATGTCTGTTTAGTAGTGAATGCCGACTGATACTTACTTTTTGTCATACAGGGCCTCAAAAATAAGACTGTGACTGAAGGTGAGTCTGTCACTCTGGAGTGCCATATCTCTGGTCATCCCCAGCCTACTGTGACATGGTACAGGGAAGACTACAAGATTGAAAGCTCAATGGACTTCCAGATCACTTTCAAAGCAGGGCTTGCTCGGCTTGTGATTCGCGAAGCCTTTGCAGAAGACAGTGGAAGATTTACCTGCACTGCTACCAATAAGGCTGGGAGTGTCAGCACATCTTGCCACTTATATGTGAAAGGTAAATATAGTAATAAGATCATTTAGGTTGGAAAAGACCTTTAGAATCATCAAGTTGGAGCATTAACCTAACACTATGTAGTTCACCATTGAACTTTGTCCCTAAGCATCACATCCACAGGTCTTTTAAATACCTTCAGGAATGGTGATTCAACCACTTCCCTGGGCAGCTGGTTGCAATGCTTGACAATCTTTTCAGTGAAGACATTTTCAGTAATATCCAACCTAAACCCCTTCTGGCTCAACTTGAGGCCATGTTCTCTTGTGAGAGTAGAAAGATTATAATTTTGTTAACAGCTCTCAAGCCAGGTCTCAAGTAGAACATATGTCCTGAGTCGTATTCCGGGGCTGCCAGGTAACAAGACTGTAGGAACATGTGGGAAATAGGCCAATGCAGACTCTTAAATTGCTTCCTTGGTGGAAGTACTTGGCACTCTGAGCCAACTAACCGCGTAACCATCTCTCTTTTTGTGTCAAATAAACTCACTGCTTAAGCACTGTTGAAGTATTTGAAAATCCACTTTATCATATCTGCCTTGCAGTTTCAGAAGAAATTGAGACTCGAGAAACCATATCTGAGAAGGCTCTTACAGAAGAGAAACGGTAAACTTATTTTCCTAAACAGACTGCTCTTATTGTGGTCATTAGTTTCTTGTAGTCTCTTTATGAGAGCTTCGCACATCAGCTCACTTACCTGCACTGGAATCTTATTTCAGCTATGTGGAGACAAAGGACATTGTAATGGAAGATGTCTCTGCTGCAGCAGAGGAAGTATCAGGAGAACCCATACCTCCTTTCTTCATAAGAAAACCCATAGTACATAAATTAATTGAAGGTGGGAGCATTATTTTTGAATGCCAAGTAGGGGGCAATCCAAAGCCACATGTCTGCTGGAAAAAAGGTGGAGTTCCTCTAACGACTGGCTACAGGTACTATGAATACAATCTACAAAAATTATTTAAACATATTTTAAAAGAATATTTAATTGACAGTACCATAATTTTGATTTCCTTACTGATGCTGAGCCAAATAACGTCACGGATTTCTGTGAATTTTTTTTTTTAATTGAAAAGTCATAGGATTGTGCCTTAACATGAGACTTTAGAGGGCTGCTAAGATTTACAATATAAATATTCAAACTACTACAAAATAAGAAATGTTACATATCCTTAAAAACAAATCAGGAAGAAGTTTTGAGCTTCTTTTATTCTGGCTATGCAATGTTTGCATTCTCTCTATGCAAATGTTGTCTATAGAAAGCAACACACTTTCTAGCAGAGGAAAAAAAGTAATTTGTAACATTCTTGAAATATATCATGCTACAGTGACCCACATTACAACAAACTGTGTGCACACAGCATAGCGCATTTCGCTGTGTCTGGTAACTAGACCTCTGATGTTTTAGTACTGCTGTTTGCAGAGCATTGTTTTAGTGAGAACAGTAAGAAAGTAGACTCAGACTCTAGTTTCAGCATGCTTACTTTTCCTCTGCTGTTCTGCAGATTCATTGAGTGAGAATTGCCTGCAAAAGATTTTTTTTTCTTGTCTTGTACAAATTAAGAGTGATTCTGATTAATTGTATAACTAAAAGCAAATTCACTAAAACATCTGTTCATCAGAATTATAGAGCTTGCACTTTTATGTTTTCTATAGATACAAAGTGAGTTACAAAAGAGAAACCGGGGAATGCAAACTTGAAATTTCTATGACTTTTGCTGACGACGCCGGAGAATACACTATTGTTGTTCGTAATAAACACGGAGAAGCTTCTGCAACGGTCTCCTTACTAGAAGAAGGTACATTGTAGATGAAAGAATAGGCAAAATATTTCTTAAAATTTACTTCAAAATGGGAAAATATTTTAAAGCATTCTGCAAATTCCTTGCAGCTTAGTTTGGTCAGTTCAGGAAACTTTAAGGGACATCTGGTGGCTCTGTTTCTGCGAGACAGAGTATTTGACATCAGGACTTATATTCTTTGCTAGAATGTGTAACTATAGGAACCTTCCTCTATTGACATCCATAATGGTCTACATAACATAAGATATTCAGAGAGTAATGTTGGGAAAGGAGGTTAATCAAGTAATAGATTACCACAGGGAAAGAAGTTAACTTTTTTTTTCCAGTTGTCTTTGTAAAAATGTATAAAAGCTTGCAGAAGACAGAGCCGTGATGAAGAAATTGTAAAACAGTCTTGCAGGTGCTTTCACTTTGAGAACCACACCACCTAAATAGCATGGTAAAACTTTTACCTGCTTATAAAGCTCATCTGAGGGCATCAGTCTTTGCATTTCATTGCTGTTTGTATTTTATTGGCTAAATAGACAGAAATTCTGCTTGAATCACCAAAACCAGTAAAATAATTTTGTGTTTGTTTCCTCTATTCAATACAGTGAAGCTCACAAAAATTAATGTGTTCTTAATTCTTAGCTGATTATGAAGCCTACCTAAAATCGCAACAAGAAATGATGTACCAAACTCAAATGACTGCATATGTACAGGAACCTAAAGTGGCTGAGGTAGCCCCAGCTATTTCATATGGTGACTTTGAAAAAGAATACGAAAAAGAGCAAGCCCTAATTAGGAAGAAAATGGCAAAAGATACAGTGATGGTCAGAACTTTTGTAGAAGATGAGGTATGTCTACCACTCCACACTCTTTTTGTATACTAACATTTTACCAGTACAAATCACAAGGTCATTATCTGACACACAGAACTTGCTTTTCTGTATAGGAATTCCATATTTCTTCTTTTGAAGAAAGACTTATCAAGGAAATTGAACTCAGAATTATTAAGACCACCTTACATGAACTTCTCGAAGAAGATGGAGAAGAGATGATGGTTGATATTTCTGAATCTGAAGCTATAGAAGCAGGATTTGATTTAAGATTAAAGAATTACAGAGCCTTTGAAGGGACAGGAGTTACTTTCCACTGCAAGACGACTGGATATCCATTGCCAAAGGTACCCCAAACCTATATGACATTAACTTATTTAAAAAACCATCTAGTACTTGAAAAATTCCTTAACAACTCATTGTCAGACATTCTACATTCTGCATAGAGAACAGAAAATCTCAAAGGAAATCCATTCATTTGTTCTGATATCAAGATGAGTTTTCCTTTTGTCTCTTAGTAGAATAGTGTTATGTTAGTTAGCTAGTTCAGAGTTAGGTTAGATTTACCAGTTAAGTTGGTTTTGTTTCTGACTATCTACAAGTTAGCTCACGCAAGCGGGGAACAGAATAGCAAGTTCAACATAGGTCACTTTGCTCTTTGTCAAAATGGGCTTCATATCCATTTCTAGCTCCAAAACTCATGTTCCAGGCTACTGTTAAAACATGTTACTTTAGCCTTACTTATTTCAAGTAAAAAATATTAATGTTACCATGGTCTATGCTGGTGCATGCACTGAAAAATAGGAAGCTGTCATATGTTGTATGCATGGGTCGTTGCTGCATTCTGGAGGTGGAGAGGTCACATATCATTCCACTGTTTCTTTCCATGCAGGTCGCATGGTACAAAGATGGTAAGCGCATAAGGCACGGAGAGCGATACTACATGGAGGTGCTGCAGGATGGCAGTGCCAGCCTACGTTTGCCTGTTGTTTTACCTGAAGATGAAGGAATTTACACTGTCTTTGCCAGTAATATGAAAGGAAATGCCATTTGTTCAGCAAAACTCTACGTTGAGCCAGTTGCACCCACAGCAACTCCAGGTTATGTGCCGGGACCAGAAGTTATGCGAAGATACAGGTGGGTACATAGTAATATATACATTTTATGGGACTTCAGTCTGTTGTGATAGATAGTCCAAAAACTGGTTACATAGCAGCTAACCAGCTTAAGTACTGGAGTCTGCATACCTCTAGAGAAGTTCTAAATGCTGTTTTCATAATGATTTATGTGCCAATTCTTTGTCTGATTCGTCTTCTTAATGAGCAGTGCAGTTCCCAGAGCACCATCATCTACATGCATATCCAGTCACAGTATTAGATTTACAACCTCAGTAACCATGTTTATTTCTTAAAGTTCTCATGTTTTGGAAAAAAAAATAAATTCTTCTGCACTTGGAGTTGTAATACACTTTGAGACTCTTATTTCCCACCCTTGAAATAGCTGGAGTTCTATGACAGAAAAGATCCCACATTGCCATGTACTGTGTTCTGTCCCCATATACATACACAAACACACATAAGATTACATGCCTATCTGTACAGTATCTAAAAATCAAAACTTTGCTCTGGGTATAGTGTATCCTAATACTATTCAGCTACCCAAATTGCTGTCAAAACTCCCAAGAAAACTGACTATAAAAAAAAATTAATATTGTCACAATTTCCCACATAGATAAATTGGTTAAGATCTTTAAAATAAATTGTACTAAAGGCAAAAGATTAATTCTGTTTATCATGTCAACACACTGCTATATGACGGTATCACACACAACTGTCTTATCTTGTCCTTCCAGGTCTATTTCTCCACGTTCTCCAAGCAGGTCTCCTGCCCGCAGTTCTCCTTCTCGTTCTCCTGCCCGCAGACTGGAAGACACAGATGAAGGACAACTAGAGAGACTATATAAGCCAGTTTTTGTGCTGAAACCTACATCATTTAAATGTTTACAGGGACAGACAGCACGATTTGACTTAAAAGTTGTTGGCAGACCTATGCCAGAGACATACTGGTTCCATAATGGTACATTTTCATCAATATAATCTTAAAGAAAGCAAACAACCTTACATGCATTTTACATCTTGTTGAGACACTATCCTGAGCACAACTTTTTTTTTTTTTTTCATGTGTATCTGCAGGTCAACAAGTGATTAATGACTACACCCATAAAATAGTGATTAAAGAAGATGGCACACAGTCATTGATCATTGTTCCTGCTATGCCTGAAGACTCTGGAGAATGGGCTGTAATTGCTCAGAACAGGGCAGGCAAAGCTTCAGTCTCAATGACACTGACTGTGGAAGGTATCTACTGTGCATGCTGGTTTTAGGAGGCTGAGGAGTGTTTCTTATTAAAAAATGTGGTTATGTCGTTTCCTCTTGTGATAAATTACCCTTGCTCTTTCAGCTAAGGAAGATCTAGTCAGACCACACTTTGTGCAAAGGCTGAAGAATGTTAGTGTAAAGGAGGGCTCTAGACTGGAGATGGCAGTGAAAGCTACTGGTAGCCCTAATCCTGACATTGTATGGCTGAAGAACAGTGACATCATTGTACCTCATAAATACCCCCAAATACAGTAAGCATTTTTATTTTGTTTAAATAATGAAGTAGTTAATAATCACCATCCTGCAAAGTGCCTCCTACAGTGTGCTGAATACACTTGCTTCTGTAGAAGGGTTTCACTAAGGGTTTAATCCAATGGTTAGTCAAGCTACTACGAGCTTTTTCATTGCAGCAAGGATAAGAGACATAAAATATCATGTAGGACTCCATTTTCTCCAGCTTGTGTATTTGTTATTCTGCAAAGGCAATGCTTTTACAGCAGAGATTTAAGCAACCTTTACCTACCCCTGATTTTGAAGTCCTCTGTAGACAAAACTGCCATTGAATTCACAACTTGTTTTTATTATCTTTATCTGTTTGATTGTTAGGAATTGCAGTCATAAACATGAATAAACATAATCAACATACTAAGTTCCTCTAGACATTTGCCTTTGGACAGTTTGAACTATTTTTGGACAAGGGCAAAAATGAATGACAAGGAAATGCATAAAAAAATTTAAAAATTGTTGTACTATTTCAGGATTGAGGGAACCAAAGGGGCAGCTGCCCTTAAAATTGCATCTACTGCCAGGCAAGACGCTGCATGGTATACTGCTACTGCTATCAATAAAGCTGGGCGGGACACTACTCGGTGCAAAGTGAATGTTGAAGTTGAACATGCAGAACCCGAACCAGAAAGGAGATTAATCATTCCCAAAGGAACTTATAAAGCCAAGGAGATCGCAGCACCAGAGTTAGAGCCTCTCCATCTGCGTTACGGTCAAGAGCAATGGGAGGAAGGTGACCTCTATGACAAAGAAAAGCAACAGAAACCATTCTTTAAGAAGAAGCTCACATCTTTAAGGCTCAAACAATTTGGACCAGCACATTTTGAGTGCAGGCTTACACCAATTGGTGACCCAACCATGGTTGTGGAGTGGCTGCATGATGGCAAGCCCTTGGAAGCAGCTAACAGACTCCGCATGATCAATGAGTTTGGTTACTGTAGCCTGGACTATGGAGTAGCCTATTCCAGAGACAGTGGAGTGATTACTTGCAGAGCAACCAACAAATATGGTACAGATCATACATCTGCTACTCTGATTGTGAAGGATGAGAAAAGCCTTGTGGAAGAATCCCAGTTGCCAGAAGGCAGAAGGGGACTGCAGCGGATTGAAGAGTTAGAAAGAATGGCCCATGAGGGTGCTCTTCCTGCTGTTGCACTGGACCAAAAGGAAAAACAAAAACCAGAAATTGTTTTGGTTCCTGAACCTGTAAGAGTTCTGGAAGGTGAAACAGCGCGATTCCGCTGCCGTGTGACTGGCTATCCTTTGCCCAAGGTCAACTGGTACCTCAATGGACAGCTCATCCGTAAGAGCAAAAGGTTTAGACTCCGTTACGATGGCATCTACTACCTGGATATTGTGGACTGCAAATCATACGACACAGGAGAGGTGAAAGTCACTGCAGAGAATCCAGAAGGCTTTCTTGAACACAAGGTGAGACTTGAGATCCAGCAGAGGGAAGACTTCAGATCTGTTCTTCGTCGTGCTCCTGAACCCAAACATGAGCCTGTAGCGACAGAGGCTGGAAAACTTCAATTTGAGGTACAGAAGGTAGACAAACCTGCAGAGGCGACAACCAAAGAAGTGGTGAAACTGAAAAGGGCTGAAAGAATAACTCATGAGAAGCTTTCAGAAGAATCTGAAGAGCTGCGTAGTAAATTCAAGCGTAGGACAGAAGAGGGCTATTATGAAGCCATCACTGCTGTGGAACTTAAGTCTCGTAAAAAAGATGAATCCTATGAAGAAATGTTAAAAAAGACAAAAGAAGAACTTCTTCACTGGACCAAAGAGATCCCAGAGGAAGAGAAGAAAGCACTTCCTCCTGAAGGCAAAATCACCATTCCATCATTCAAACCAGAGAAGGTCGAGCTTAGTCCAAGCATGGAGGCTCCCAAGATATTTGAACGAATTCAAAGCCAGACTGTAGCCCAGGGGACAGATGCACACTTCCGTGTAAGAGTAGTGGGAAAACCAGACCCTGAGTGCCAGTGGTTCAAAAATGGTGTGCAGATTGAGAGGACTGATCGTGTGTATTGGTACTGGCCCGAAGACAATGTTTGCGAATTAGTCATCAGAGATGTGACTTCTGATGATTCCGCCAGCATCATGGTGAAAGCAGTCAATATAGCTGGAGAAACTTCTAGCCATGCTTTCCTGTTAGTACAAGGTAATTTAAATTCTCTTACTTTTATCCTACTGCTTATCATATTGTATTGTCTATATAGTCAGTGCACTGTTGATTCATTGCATACTGTTTTGCACAGCCAAGCAGTTAATCAGTTTCACCCAGAAGTTACAAGATATTGTTGCTAAAGAGAGAGACTCCATGGCAACGTTTGAATGTGAGACATCAGAACCCTTTGTCAAAGTGAAATGGTTTAAGAATGGAATTGAGATTCATTCTGGAGACAAATACAGGATGCACTCAGACAGAAAGGCTCATTTCCTTTCTGTACTAACAATTGAAATGTCTGATGCTGATGACTACAGCTGTGCACTGGTAGAAGATGAATCCATAAAAACTACTGCAAAGCTTACTGTTGAAGGTAAGAAGCACATGGCTTAGTACTATGCAGTACTGTTAAAGTGAAATCAGATTTAGAAAGAAATAAAACAATGCAAAATGACATCTAACATGCTGCGAAGTGTTCAAGCTGCTTTCATATTCTCAGAATCCAGTACAAAAGTTTGTAGATATATTTATGTAAAACAGTTAAGCCATATATATATTATTTTTCTTAAGCCATATATATATTCTTTTTCTTATGCTCATTTTATAAGAAATATTTTCATCAGGGGTATCTTATACATGAATGTAATTATTTTTGCCTGTAGGTGCTGTGATTGAGTTTATTAAAGAACTTGAGGACGTTGAAGTACCAGAATCTTTCTCAGGTGAACTTGAATGTGAGGTTTCCCCAGAAGATGTGGAGGGGAAATGGTATCATGGCGATACTGAACTCACTTCTAATCACAAATATGTGATTACATCCCGACGTGGTCGCCAAATCCTCACCATTAAAGATGTGAATAAAGATGATCAAGGAGAGTATAGCTTTGTTGTTGGAGGAAAAAGGACTCATTGCAAACTGAAGATGAAGCGTAAGCATTTCTAGTACTTATATTGTCTTTATATGATAGGCTTTATACGTTATAGAATATATTATTGCTATACCACTATATCCCATGCTGCTTGAATATTCAACATTCTGCATATCTGTTATAAGGACTAATTACCTTGATTTTGTTCCACAGCTCGTCCTATGGCTATTCTTCAAGGACTTACTGATCAAAGAGTCTGTGAAGGAGATATTGTACAACTTGAAGTGAAAGTCTCCCTAGAAAATGTGGAAGGTGTATGGATGAAAGATGGTCATGAAATTCAATCAAGTGATCGTATTCACATAGTGTTGGATAAACAGTCACACATGTTGCTGATAGAAGATGCAACAAAGGAAGATAGTGGATCTTACTCTTTTAGTGTTCCAGATCTTGAACTGTCAACCACTGGAAAGATCACAGTGTACAGTAAGTCGTTATCATGATTTTGAATGTGTGTCTAATTGTGTGAAGGATTACTTCTTAAGAGGTGTATTTTTTTAATGATAAATATTTTTGTAACTTGACAGGTGTGGAAATAGTGGTGCCTCTAAAAGATGTTCACGTAGTCGAAGGAACAAAAGCTATCCTCGAATGCAAGGTTTCAGCACCTGATGTGTCTTCCTCCAAATGGTACCTAAATGATCATCAGATAAAGCCTGATGAACGTGTACAAGCCGTATGTAAAGGCAATAAACAGAGGCTAGTGCTTACCAGAACTCATGCATCAGATGAAGGACGGTATAAGCTAACTGTTGGCAAAGTTGAAACAAGTTGTAATGTCACAGTTGAAGGTAAGTTTCCTTTAAGATATACATTTCTTTGTGAAAGTATTTATTTAAATACAAAACTATGGAAACAACAAATATGTTTGTAATTTTTTCTTTCTATAGAAATTCAGATTATTAGAGGTCTTCACGATATCACCTGCACAGAAACACAGAATGTGTCCTTTGAGGTCGAGCTCTCCCATTCAGGGATTGATGTAATTTGGCATTTCAAAGGCAAAGAGATAAAAACTGGTCCTAAATATAAAATTGAAGCACATGGCAAAATATATAAATTGACAGTGGTGAAGATGATGAAAGATGATGAAGGAGAATATGTATTTTATGCTGGAGAGAAGAAAACATCTGGAAAGCTTGTAGTAGCAGGTTAGTAGGGTTAAAGTTTGAGATTTTTTCACTGTAAGTAAAAACGTTGTTCAATGTGCTGTATTTTTTTAATTGTTGCAATTCTACTGTTTCTGTACTTTTTTTCCTTTCATTTCACTTTTTTCCTTGTTCTCCTTGCTCTTCTCCTTATCTTTTGTGGTTGGTATAATTTGACTTCAACAAAACTTTTGAATAAGTGCTAATATGTTTCACTAAATCAGAGGCATAGTATGGAATGCTCTATCATGTTTTGAAGTAATTAATATAAAAAAGACATTTTTTGTCTCAAATATTCAGTATACCTGCACTGACAATAAAAATAATAAATGTGAATAAATAAGATAGAAGTAAGAAACATCTTTTTGTGATGTTCAGGTCACATTCTAATCTTTAATTTTCACAGGACACAGAATGTCTATGGGCATGCTGCAAATTAGGGCAAAGAATTCCAGCATCTATTTTTCATGTGGTTACATTTCCATATAGGGGAAAGTTGAACAGTAGCACAAGAAAAAACATGCTTTTGTTTCTCAATAGGTGGTGCCATTTCAAAGCCTCTCACTGACCTGACTGTAGCTGAGTCCCAGGCAGCTGTTTTTGAATGTGAGGTGGCAAATCCTGAATCAGATGGCCAATGGCTAAAAAATGGTAAACCATTACCTATGACAGATCAGTATCGTGCTGAATCTGATGGTGTAAAAAGAAGGCTCAATATCCCTGTCACGAAAATGGATGATATGGGTGAATACAGCTATGAGGTAGCAAGCTCAAAGACATCTGCCAAACTGAAGGTCGAAGGTCAGTATTTTTTATAGCTAACTGATGTCTTTAAGACTCAAGTCTAGCATCACTCACTGTGTGCCCCTAAGATACAAGCAAATTTTGCTTCATTTTCTGAAAATATTTTTATATTATGATGTTCTTTCAGAGGTAGTAAACTTTGAAGTCTTCATATTTGGAATTTAGCGTGGTATTTTAAAAAAAACACGTTTTGCTCAAGGTACTGGCTAGCAGGTAGAAATTCACTCTTTGCTAGTTGTGTAATAAACATGAAAAGAAAAAAGAAAAACCCTGTTTCTCATGGATGCTAAAAATAAATGTGCCTTTTTGTGTTCCAAGCACAACCGCTTTGGTGGAAACTGTATAAATCAGTATATAGATTTTAACATACTAGATTTTAAAATGAAGTACCATGTTTCAATTTTATTATGATTATTATATTTAATATAATTTTTAATTTTAGTCTGGTGTGTCAAGTCTTTTTTTTTTCTTTTTTTTTTTTTTTTTTTAAAAATTTTCACCCCTAGCTGTTAAGATAAAGAAGACACTAAAGAACTTGACTGTGACAGAAACACAGGAGGCAGTTTTCAGCGTAGAACTGAGCCACCCTGATGTGGAAGGAGCTCTGTGGATTAAAAACGGCGTTGAACTTGAATCAAATGACAAATATGAAATTTCAGTGAAAGGAACTGTTCACACACTGAAAATCAAACACTGTGTTGTCACTGATGAGTCTGTGTATAGCTTTAAGCTTGGCAAGATAGGAGCAAATGCCAGACTGCATGTGGAAAGTAAGTCAGCCTGGTTTGAATATTTGTTTTAATATGTGGTTTTAAATGCAAATCAAACACACTGCTGAATCTTGCTACCTTTTTTCCTCAAGCTGTCAAGATCATCAAAAAGCCAAAGGATGTGACTGCTTTGGAAAATGCTGTTGTCTCCTTTGAGTTGAGTGTATCACATGATACTGTACCAGTTCGATGGTTCCACAAAAATATTGAGCTTAAACAAAGTGATAAATACAAAATGATCTCACAAAGGAAAGTTCACAAGCTTATGCTGCATAACATATCTCCTGCTGATGCTGGCGAATATACAGCTCTTGTTGGGCAAATTGAATGTAAAGCAAAACTGTTTGTGGAAAGTAAGTATTATTAAGTTTGTAAGAAAGTAGTTATATGAATTGCTACACCTAATCATATTTGAGAACTTCACCTGACACTTCGTAGCCTGCTACTTTTGGGTATTTGCAGTTAAAAAATCTTTCCTTTTCTTTTGTTTGTTTTTTTTTTTTTTTTTTCCTCCACCACTTTAGCCATACACATCACAAAGACCATGAAAAATATTGAGATCCCTGAGACCAAAACTGCCTCTTTTCAATGTGAAGTGTCTCATTTCAATGTGCCTGCTGTCTGGTTGAAAAATGGTGTGGAGATTGAAATGAGTGAAAAGTTCAAAATAGTGGTCCAGGGGAAACTCCATCAGCTCAATATCATGAACACAAGCAGTGAAGATTCTGCAGAATATACATTTGTCTGTGGAAATGACAGAGTCAGTGCAACTCTGACCGTAAAACGTATGTAAAAGTTAAATTAACTGTAATATTTTACATTTGCAAATAATAGAGTTTCTGTTAATAACAGGCACTTGGCAACTCAGACAAAACCAGCACTGTCATAATGGTATTTTCAAATAACTCTAAATAGGTTGTAACAGTTAAACAGTTACATTTTTTTAAAAGACATTTAGAAGCTGTGAATTTGAAAGTCAGGTCCTGGATTCTTCTGTTTAAGACAACGTGCCTAAATGCCAAGTCGCCATGGGAGGCAGCACTTGGATTCCTCTCTCATTCAGAAGTTTTGGGAAATTTAATTGTAGTATTGATTCTGAACACAGAGCCTTCCTCTTAATATTACCAAAAATTGGGATCTGTCTTAAGGAATTTTGAGTATCTTTGATCCAGTTACATGTTTAAAACAAAGCAAAACAGAACAACAACAAAAAACCCTATCCCAAACTATATTCATTTCTTCTCTTTTAGCCATCCTAATTACCTCCATGCTAAAAGACATCAATGCCGAAGAGAAAGATACAATAACATTTGAAGTTACTGTTAACTATGAAGGTATCTCATATAAATGGCTGAAGAATGGGATAGAAATAAAATCAACTGATAAATGCCAGATACGAACGAAGAAGCTCACACACTCCCTCTCCATAAGGAATGTGCATTTTGGTGATGCTGCAGAATACACTTTTGTTGCTGGAAAAGCAGCTTCATCAGCCACTTTATATGTGGAAGGTATTTGCCATCTTGATTTGTATATTTAGTGACTTCTAGTGGCTTAAATGGCATCATGTGGCACTCATTCTACTTTTGTTTTGCCCTAGCTCGTCACATTGAGTTTAGGAAGCATATTAAAGACATCAAGGTTGTGGAGAAGAGGAGGGCTATTTTTGAATGTGAAGTTTCAGAACCTGATATTCAGGTCCAGTGGATGAAGGATGGACAAGAACTCCAGATTGGTGATAGGTAAATGACTGATGCTGCACCATATTGAGTTCTGTTTTGTATTTAACCCCAGAAAATAACTTGCTTGTTTTCTTTTCTGATGTCCTTAGGATGAAGATTCAGAGAGAGAAGTATGTCCATCGTCTCATCATTCCTTCTACAAGAATGTCTGATGCTGGTCAGTACACTGTAGTAGCAGGCGGAAACACATCCAGTGCCAATTTGATTGTTGAAGGTCGTGACATTCGTATCAGAAGTGTCCGTAAAGATATTCAGGTATGGCTTACAGAGAAGAATAATTATTTCATAACTTTCTCACTCAAAAAATAATGCAAAGGAAGAACAACAGCATCTAACCAGCAAGAGTCCTAACATAAAAATCTCTAATTATAAATTCAGGGCCTTCTTCTAGGAATCTGGCATGTGAGACCATCTGTAAAAACAAATACTATTTCTAATATTTATTCTACTTGTTCAAAGGTCATGGAGAGACAAAGAGCTGAAATTGAATTTGAAGTCAATGAAGATGACATTGAGCCACAGTGGTACAAGGATGGTATTGAGATCAACTTCCAATATGAGGAGAGATACAGTTATGTGGTGGAAAGAAGAGTTCATCGAATGAGCATTTTTGAAACCACTTACTCTGATGCTGGAGAATATACTTTTGTTGCAGGACGGAATAAGAGTTCTGTTGTTCTCTATGTGAATGGTAGGTGTTCCCACAAGCAATGCTCTGACTGTGCTTTTACCCTATGTTTTTCTGATTTCTGTATAGCTTTTCTGAAATTCTAACTCTGAAAGTAGAAAAGAAAAAAAAAATACCCAAAGAGAATCTTATGTCTAGAATACTATCAAAATCTTCATGCACATGGATGTTTTTTGCTGTACTGAAATAGCTGGCTAGCTGATGATCTGAATGCTGCTGTTTGCAGTAGCAGATGTTTCAGTGCAATAGCAGAGGTTCAGTGGACAGAACCTTGGTACTGAGGCTATCTATCTATCTATCTATCTATCTATCTATCTATCTATCTATCTATCTATCTATCTCACTGTTCTTCATACTGCTTCCAAGTAACACCATAATGATTAAGCTGTCCTCATGGCAATGTGTGCTACAAGATACCATAGAGGAAGCAGTAAGCTTAAACCTGCTGAGAGATTATCTGAAATGAATGTATGCTTATTCTGGTGGATATCTTTTGAGGAAAAACAGAACCACAGTGGCTTTTTTTGGTACTTTTTTGTACTGGACTGGCTTTTCTTGTGGTCTACCATTCAAAGAAGCTCTGGGCTTGAGAAACTGAGTGCAGGTTAGTGAGAGCATATCATCATTAAGACAGCATCACCTTTCCTGTGTCTTCACTGGTGGCTCTGATTTCCTATTCCAGAACCTGAAGAGTTGTTTTTTTTTTTTTTTTCTCCCTTCTTCTGAGGGGTTTCCACTGGCTCCATAGGGCTTGGTTACTGAAAAGATACCATCTCTGCCTTCTTGCTGCTGCTGGGGATGGACAGGGTAGGCACACGAGTCTGTAACTGTTATGTCGATGAGGAAGTCACAGAAGAAAAGAGAAAGTAAAAGTTTCCATTTTTATCACAGAGGCTTCAGATTTTGTTTGAGACGCTATTCAGGGAGTGAGAATGCTCTTCCAACCTGTTAAGGTTTAGGGCTGGGCTGGCCACTAGACAAATTGCTCTCTATTAACCCCTCTCAGAGGAGAAGTGAAATGGAGCAAGGGAGAGGGACTTATGGATTAAAAAGCTAAAGCAGCTCTAATGAAAATAATAATAATTAAATGGAAAATACACAAATATATACAACCCTAACATCAAACCCAACCCCCTGTTGACAATTATGTCACCATCACCACTGATGCTGTGGAGCAGGCACTGGGGAACTCCCAGACTAGACACAGCAGTAGACAGGAACTAGATTCAGGAGCTGGATTCTGAAACTGGATTCAGGAATATATGGATGGGGATCAAAGGCAGAATGGAGAGAGTCTTCCTTGAATGCCAGCTGTTGAAGAAGACAGTTTGATCCTCATGATCCCTCAGCTTTATACTGAATATGACTTATGTGGGATGGAATATCTAGTTGGTTGTTTTAGGGTCACCTTTTTTGCCTGTTTCCTCTTGCAGGTGCAGCTTCTTACTTACTGCACCCCCGGACTGGTACAGAAGATTTAGTAATGACCTTGGTCTGCACACCAGTCCTTAGTAGTAACTATAAACATCAAGTCTTATCACAGTTAGAAACAGACACTGTCTGCAAAAATATGCCATTAACTTCAGAAAGTGCAGTTAGTTAGAAGAGACTTACTTAAAAATAAAATCACTGCACAGGATTAGTTCTTTTCTAACTCAAGCCAGGACAAAATGCTCTATAAGTTTTTTTCCCCATTGTATTTATTCACACCAGGAAATTCTCAAGTCCAAATTAAACTAATTTGTTCCTATGGGCAGATATGCTTTGCCAGATGACTAAACCTATCAGTTCTTGGACACGTTTTGCCAGAAAACAGCTAATTATGTTAAGCCACTTGCTGCCAGTTTATTCCCCCTGTATCAAAGAAAAGGGCAGATTTTGATGGGCATGCAAGATTTGGCATCATAAGATTTAAAAAGAAATAAAATAAAAATCCTTGCTAATACTTTTGAAACCTTGATAAATATCAGTAATGAGATTTCTTTCTCTCCTCCTTTTTCCATTCCCCTTCCCTCCCATCCCTGTGCAATTTGCAGCTCCGGAGCCACCCAAGATTATTCAGGAGCTAGAGCCAACCACTGTGGAGTCTGGCAAACCTGCCCGCTTCTGTGCTATGATATCAGGCAAACCACAGCCCAAAATCTCCTGGTACAAAGATGATCAACAGCTTTCTCCAGGTTTCAAGTGTAAATTTCTTCATGATGCACAAGAGTATACTTTATTGCTGATTGAGACTTTCCCTGAAGACGCTGCCGTGTACACCTGCGAAGCAAAAAACGACTATGGAGTTGCTACAACTTCAGCTTCGCTTTCAGTGGAAAGTGAGTTTGCCATGGTCATAACAATGTCTGTGAAATGAGGTGGTCAATGTGTGATCTTACTCATCATTAAACATTACTTCTTTTTCTTATCCTATAGTTCCAGAAGTTGTTTCTCCTGAGCCAGAAGTACCAGTGTATCCACCTGCTGTCATAATACCGCTTCGTGACACTGTTACATCAGAGGGACAGTCTGCTCGTTTTCAGTGCAGAGTTACAGGGACAGGTGGGTTTAATGAAATCTTTTACATCTTTTCATCCCTCTGAATTTTTCATCTTAAACTCAGAAAAAAATGCAACAGTATGTGTGCTGGGATCAGTCCTTCCCTAGAAGTACAGTTATTTGATATACACACACAGCGAAGTGTTACTCACTGACAACAATCAGTTAAGCAAGTTATAATTCAAAGATGGCATCAAGCTTGGAAATTGTAAGCTGCCATAAACATTACTCATTTCTGAAAAGCAGGTCTGTTTCCAAATAAAGTTGTCTTTGGAAACTTTTTAGCATTTTAAATGTTAACTGGCATTGGAAAACTATCAGTGACTAAAATGGGGAGTTTCAAAACATGGGGTATCATAGTGGTGGAAAAGCATTATCATATCAAAGATGATGAAGTTTCTGATGGCACACAGTGTCATGTCAATTAACTAAACAGACTGAAATTGTGCCTCAACCCTTATCCTAATATTCCTAAATATCATGCATCACTCTGCAAACTGTAAACTGCCATCGCATTCTTTTTCCTAGCATAAAAAGGTATTTCCTTTTAAGTGTAGATTTTCCTTAAACAAGTTCGCTAGTTTTAGTTGCATAGAATATCGTTCAACAATTAAAATAATTCTTCCCACGTTAATACAAAACTAAATAACACTACCTTTCTTCACTTCTGTAAATGGACTTGAGTATGACTAGCTATAAAATATTCACATGGTAAACTGCAGAATAAGATCTAGTTCCCATCCCAAACCCACATAAAATTAGTAATATATGTAAATATGCAAATATGTAAAAATTGCATTTCCATCACTCGAAATCAAACTGCACCTTTTTTTTTTTTTCTTTTTAAAGCTTTATAAGAAATCTGATTCTGTTTTAGAAGTGATGCTAAAACTCAGAAAATGTATGTTGGAAAACCTGGCCTGCCATCTATGCAAAGCATGCTAGTGTAACTTTTTCTACAAGAACTGTATTTATGTGGATCTGGAAGCTGCATTTACAGCATGGATAATAAGGGTTCTTTCATCTGAGGCCTCTTTCACAGAATCATAGAGTCATTTAGGTTGGAAAAGACCTTTAAGATCATCAAGTCCAGCCATAAACCTAGCACTGCCAAATCCACCACTAAACCATATCTCTAAGCGTTACATTTACACACCTTTCAAATACCTTCAGGGATGGTGGCTCAGCCACTTCCCTGGGCAGCCTGCTCCAATGCTCGACAACCCTTTTAAGTTTGACATGTTTTTCTTATTGAAGATTTCCCCTGTTGGATGTTGTATCCAATTGTATTTGTTTACCTCTCACTTGTGTTGTGAAAACCTTTCATGGTTAGGTAACAACTGATTGCAAATACAGTTGTTTAATGGTACACACTACGCAGCTGGCTATAGAGAACAGTCTCTTTCTTCTGATGACATTAATAGCACACTCTTTGAGATCGTTTGATCCATGATGTAATACAGTGCCAGATGGACAGGCAAGGTAAAAGTCTGCTTCAGTCCTATTCTTTCCCAAGTCTACAAGAATCTATACAGGTCAAGTAACACAACGTATTATACAGGAATTTTATGAAGGTACAAAGATGAGATCTTTCTTGAGAAATATGAGGGGTAAAATTTATAGTATTTGCAGCAGAGGCAAGATACTGTCTTAGCAAAAGAATATTCTGCTTTAATTTCACCTGTTCAGCTCAACCTAATGTTTTTATAGCCTGTTTCATCAGGCAATTGAAGCAGAATCTTTTTTTTAAAATGAGAGTTTCTCCAATTTTAGCAGCAACAAATTTTAAAAAACTTTTTACACTTCTTTCTGTTGGTTGAACAGATCTGAAAGTCTCTTGGTACAGCAAAGAAAAAGAGATCAAGCCATCACGGTTTTTTAGAATGACTCAGTTTGAAGACACTTACCAGCTGGAGATTGCTGAAGCTTATCCAGAGGATGAAGGAGTCTATACCTTTGTGGCTAGTAATTCAATAGGACAAGTGACAAGCACTGCTACCTTGAAGCTAGAAGGTACAGTGTGTGTTGTTTAGGTTACGTTCCTACACTAATCTTAATATACACTGATGATTATATGTGAGTCATTGTCTGTCATGTTGTCTTGTAACTCAATTAATTGCAACCATTTACAATGTCCACAGCATACGTTTATGTCTCCAAAATATAGGTTATGTACAGGAGAACTTATTTCACAGGTTTTCAATGTTCCATGCACTTTAACTTTTCATTCTCTCCATTATTAGAATCTGTCATGCACCAAAGATGGTAGAATCCTTAATTCTAATGGAAGTGCTTTGCTCACACATTCCTTGATTTGACAGTGAGGAGAATCTAGTAAGAGTTTTTGTATAAAATACTTTAAAAGTGTTGGAAAATATTTTAAATAGAGGTGTGTTCCAGGTACGTAGACAGCTGAAAAGATATAATTTACATTCATATGAATTGGTGAGATATTGATCAATGTTTTAGGGCAGAAATTTGCTGTTGAAGTCCTATATTGTCTTAGATATTATTTAACCATAAATATTTCACTTTCTTTTTGCAACAGATTTTATAAATGATGAATTACAATCATTCATGCTGTTAAATTACCATCTAGAAAAAAAAAAAAAGAAAAATCTTCAATGAGAGAGAATATTTATTGTAGTGTAGGGTAAGAAATTAAAAACTGGCATGCTTCTTTTCAGGATTTAAAAAGGTTGAAGAAGTTACATCAGAGTCCCATTGGCATGTTTCTTCATCTGTTTCACTTAAGGAGGAGTCTATTGGCCAAAGGCCCACCTTTATCCAGCCTATTTCAAGCTGCAGCGTATGCAGCGGGGAATCAGTCAGATTCCAAGCTAGAGTCTTTGGTATGCCCAGACCAAAAATCCAGTGGTTTCATAATCAACAACTCATGTTGCCAACCAAAGACTTAGTTTTCCATTTTGATGAGTCTACAGGCACAGCTACACTGATAATAGTAGATGCTTTCTTAGAGCATGCTGGCCAATACTCTTGCAAGGCAAGAAATAGTGCTGGAGAAACAACTTGTACAGCTACACTTACAGTGACTGCTGAAGGTAAAACCCCATTTTTACTTCAAAGGGATTCAGTTTGTTGTATACCACACTTCTACGCTGTTACTAATGTTCTTCTTTCCTTGTTTCACACCTTTTCTTTACCGGCTAATGTTAGTAGTACCTACCCTCTGTAACCAAATCACTCTTGTTTCTTCTGTTTAAGCTGTAACATTTAGAAATTTGAAAATTTTTATCTAGACATAGGTCAAAGAATAGATTAATTTCACTGGAGGCATTCAGATCTTTAAAACAAGTAATTAAGTGATCTTTATAGGGGTGACTGAGGTATTTTTGCGCTATCCTGTAGGAGAAAAAAATACCCCCTTTAAAAGCTCCATAATAAGTTTCCGATACTGAAAATGAAAACTTCAGTGAAAAAAGAGACAAGCATCAGCTGTGTATCAACTGCATGACTATCTTACATATCACTCATCGTTCATATATGTGAATGGGTAATCTTTGTGTCAAGAGAGTAGTGCATCTGGCATGCTGAGTTTTCAAATTAAGACCATTCATTTTCATCCTCCATGCTGTTTGATTTTGTTCAAAGCATGGCCTAGTAAAGTTCTTTAGATACTAATATTATTGTTATTTTTGTTGCTTGATTACACAGTGCAAGCCCTAGATAGGCAAAGTTCTGGGAATGATGTAAAAGAGTCTATCCAGTCACAGGCTATATCAGAACTTCATGTTACTCCTCTCACAAAGAAGAACATTAAAACTTATCAAAAAGAATTTAAATCAGTGCAACAACCATCACAGGATCTGGGTGTACAGGTTTTCCAAAGTGTATCAGAAAGTTTGACCATGAAGGCTACATCAGTTGAAGAAATGGAAGCCATGCGCACAACCATCCTTTCCCAAACATCTCAAAGCACCAGAATCTCTATGACCACTGCTCAGGAAATGAAAGGTGTCCCTCCAAAGATTGTCTTGCAGCTCAGAGACATAACTGTGAAATGTGGCGACACTACTCAGTTCATATGTGCCTTAGAAAATGAATTCTTCTCTGAGTTTCTTTGGGCCCACGAAGGTGAAAGGATCGAAGTGTCTGAAAAATTGAAGATATCACAAAATGGAAGTGTCCTACTGCTCACAATCCTAAATGCCCAGTTGACAGATCAAGGACTGTATAGTTGCACTGTTTGTAATGATTATGGAAGGACAACAACTGCTGCAATACTAACAGTCAAAGGTGGTTATCTGATTTTTAAAATTATGACACCTTTTGCAACTTCATTATCACTGCCTATAGCTCACATACATTTCCTTTATTAACAGTATTTTATGGAGAAAGCTCTATTAATAATGCTTTGGGGATATTTCCCTCCACATTTACAGCTCTATTCATAACTGACATGTGCGGTACCAGGAAGCTGGTATTGTAACTTCATGCCTCTTCTCAGAAAGCTGCAGATAAGTGGGGCTTTTTATTCCTCATATGCATCATGATATGCAGTAGAGACGTAAAGCAAAACAGGTTAGCAGGAATTTTTACATTTTGAGAATTCCTGAAGCTGGAGTTCAAGGAAGATAGGGATGTCAGTTAAGCAATGTTGAACTAGATACCTGTAATTTAAAATCCTATGGGTCCAACTTATTTCCAGTAAATCCAAGGTTCCAATTCCAAGACAGATAGTATAGGTCAATGTACTTAAAAGCATGAATGGGTGCAGGTACTGTATTACTGCACTAATAAATTGTCTTCTACCCTTCAATATCCCTAAGATACAAGCATTTATTTTCACTAAGGCTCCTTTCCCTTCTTCCTGATGTTAGTGTATTAAAATGCTAATTGTGTTAGCACTAGCAAAGATGCAAAAATGTATTATCACCACACTGGACAGGTGATAGTATTTGAGCTTAAAAGAATCAAAAGTAGAAAACTAAGATGAATAATGAGGAAGCCACTGGCCCTTTTCATTTGGCTTGTACATACTGAAGTTTCTTTCTTCACTCTTGAGCTGTGCAAAGTACTTTACATAATCTTCTGCTACTACTTTCTAAATTGAGGCTCTAAATGAAAAGCAAAGATGTGCTTGCATCATGCATTACAGACTAAGTCTTGGTCCCATGAAAGTCCCATATGTTTACCTGGTACCTAGAATTAGCCTAGCAGGAACAGAGCTCTTAAATGTGTAATCACTATGTTTCATAGCAATGCTGTAGCACTAATATGCTGGACATTCTTTCACTACTAATTATTGAGGGGTTTTCCTCTAAGTATAAGGATATTTTTTATTCCTGCAAAACATCTGATCTAATCCTTTTCCTAACTTTATTCTTACCTAGCAAAAGAAGCACAAGCCAAAGCAGTAACAAAAATTACCCTTGAATCAGATACTAAAAGCTTTAAAGCAGCCAAAGATTGTCAGTTTAAAGCATCTGAAGTTAAGCAAGAATCTTCCAAGAAAACCTCAAGCTTGTTTATATCTACATCCCAAAGACCGTATGAAAATGAGAAGCAAAGAATCTCCTATCCTGATGTTTTGCCATATGAAGACATCACAGAAACCGATGCAGAAGCACCAGAGTTTCTTGAAACTCTGCCTTCAGAAACCACTGTAAAAGAAGGAGATGATGTGTTACTCTTTTGTATAATGAAAGGCATGCCTACACCTTGTGTGGTCTGGCTGTGCAATCGGCTAGTAGTTGAGGAGTCTGCATTGTGTTCCTTAAAACATGATGGGCCACTGTGCAGCTTAAGATTATTAAAAGTTGGTCAGAACCACAAGGGTATATACAAGTGCAGAATAGTTAATCCTGCAGGACAAGCCGAGTGCAGCACCCATCTGAGAGTGACAGGTTGGCAACTGCATGTTCCTTCCAAGTATCAATTCCTCATGCATAACAACTTTGCATTCCAGTACATTCATTCCCTGGGAGATGGTAAAAGAACGAGAAGCATCTCATTAGTCTGTGGATTGTTGAATGTCTTCTTCAGGGATTTAAGGCATGATAAAGGCATGTTGCATTAGAAACTTTCCCCCACCCTGAAAAAAAAAAAAAAAGCAAACATTATAGAAAGGGTAACAAATTTGAAGGCATTTGACTGTTCTCAAAATTTGTCCAGTGTTTTAATTGTTTGGCATGCATTTATGTGAATGTATGTGTGAATTTCTGTATCTTTGCAAGAGAGACTGGATGTTTTTGCTACATAAAGTAATGATTGGCATATTTAGCAACTATAACTCAAAAATCTTTGTCTTTTGGTTCTAGCTCCTGAAAAAATTATTCTTGAGAAGCTAGAGGAAGAGACTGAAATGGAAGTGAAAGGTACAGACACCAATGATGTTGCACTGAATAATTAGTACCAGTAATTAGTAACATTGTGAAAAGCTTTTATTTGCTTACCATGTAGTGTCTAATGGGGACAGACAGACACACTTTAAAGCATATTGGAACATGTTGCATGTTTGTTTTGATATGCAAAGGATTACCTGCGTTAAAAGGTTGTTTAAGTTTTAAAATGTTTAAAACTTCAAATTTTTAATTTTGCAGCCATATTCTTAACTTCTACTTCATGCTTTGCAGCTGCTCACCGAGCTTTTATTTGTTCAATTTCCTTTTGAATGCATGGAATAGTTTACTTCAGAAGGAAGTTATACAAATCTTAATCACATTATTTTTAAACAAGTTAGCCAACCTAACATTAGTCAGTTCAACAGACACAGATGGATGGATGGATGGATGGATAGATGAGTATACTGGAAAGCATTAGTTGTTTAGGATATGTGAAAGCTACACATTCACATTGATTTCTTGCTCTTTTTTTACATACATTAATTCATCATTATATATCTCTTACTCTGGCTTGCAGATAGCATACATGGTTCATGTTGCTTGCTTTTTTCCTTGTACATAACACTGTGAAGTTAGTGGCTGTATTAGTTCGAATAAACGCCTTCTCATTTCATGTTAGCTAATTACTTGCTTACTTTTTTAATATCTTTCAAAATATTTTTTCTCAATTGTTTGAACATTTAATCTACAAACAGAGAGGTCATAAAGGGCGTTTATTCTACTGTCTGCAAGTCAGGTAAGATTTTCTTCTTTGCCACCCAAAGATACACAGCTTTTCCAGGCAGCAAAAACATACACGCAGAAGAATGTGTTATTTTGAAATTCATTTTTGCTTGTTCAAGAAGAAATTTCCACAGTCTGAAGAAAGAACAGACAACGAACGATTTTCGTGTCAATGTTTAAAACAGAGCAAGGCGTTGCGTTTATTCGAACAAATATGGTGAGTGAAATACTTTTTTTTTCCTGGGTGTGTGATGAAATCTGTTGCATGCCCATTTTTTATTTCAATATATTGCTATTTTATTTTTTTCAGTCAGATGGCAGGCAGAGCGTAGCATGTCATAACCCAGTCTCCTTCTTTTGCAGAGCAGCACAGCAAGGCGAACCTTGACGGACGCAGGACAGCGGCGGTGCTGGATTTCCCCCAGAACTGTAAACCCACCTTCACACAGGGCCTCAAGTGTAGGTCTGTCTTGGAGGGGGACCCTGCACTCTTCCATTGCAAGCTGTTGGCATGCCCACCTCCGCACATGGCCTGGTTTCACAACAACCGGCCAGTCCATCAGGACTGCCGCAAGGTGATCCGCACCGAGAGCGAGGAGCAAACGCACCACGCCAGCCTGGAGGTGCGGGACGTGCGGGAGCACGATGCTGGCAGTTACAGGGTATTTGCCATAAACAGCGAGGGCTCGGCTGAGTCCACTGCCTCGCTGCTGGTGGCACGCAGTGGAGAGCAGCAGGGCTCACATTTTGCAGGGAAAGCGGAGTGGATGCGTGAGAAGTGGGAGTGCTTGCTGCGGCAGCGGCAGGAGGACCGGCTGCAGGTGGTGCTCCGTTGCACTGGCTCACCCTTTGACAAAGGGCAGGAGGCTGAGCAGTTGCTTGGGCACCTCTCCCCAGCCCGGGGTATGGTACGAACCATCCGTTTTCAGAGGCTGCCACCGGTGGAGCCTCACCGTCCAGGGCTGATGTGTGGTAGGGAGCACAGTGACACAGTGGTGGATGCTGAGGACGTGCTGGATGAGGAAATCCGTTGGAAGCTGCAGCGACTGCGGGAGGCAAAGAGGGCAGCGCTGAAAAAGAAGCAGGAATCCCTCATGTTTGCACCCCAAGGGAGCCCTCATGGGAAGCCCAGCCCACCTGAGGTGGCTGCCAAAACGCATGACTCAGAGCTCCCGGTGGCACAGGTGGTGAAGCGGTACCGCAGGCACAAGGCCACAGAGGAGGGATGGCAGGTGTCAAGTGGGCTCCTGGAGGACTGCCCACCCCTTTTTGTCCAGGAGATCAAGCCCCAGGAGGCTGTTGAGGGGCACAGATGCACCTTCTCCTGCCTCTTCCATGGCTGGCCGCAGCCCACAGTCACTTGGTACAACAATGCCAAGCCTGTGGGATGCATCCAGGGCACGGCCGTTCACACCACAGGGTGCCGCTCTACACTGACCTTCCCATCCCTGCTCCCACAGCATGGTGGCACTGTCACCTGTGTGATCTTCAACCCACTGGGCACAGTCAGCACCTCAGCTGCACTCCGTGTGAGGCAGCGGATGCCAGCCTATGAGACCATGAAGAAGGAGGAAGAGGAAGGGAATAAAGTGAAAGAAGAGGAAAGGGAGGAGAAGGGCAAGAAGGAAGAAGATGGGGAGAAAGAGAAGGAGGAGGAAAAGGTGGAGGAGGAAGAGGAGGAAGTTGGCCTGGCTTTTGCAGGAGAAGAGGGACTGCCAAGTGTAGTTCCAGACTCAGACTTGCTGTCGCTGCCTGTGGAAATCAAAATCACGGCCCCTACTCCAACACCAGAGCAAGACACAGAGATGAGGGAGACCATGCGGCCCTCTCCAGACCAGACTGCTCCCACCATGAAGCACAAATTCAAGTTTTCATTTGATGTGGGAAATGAGCCACCTCAAATTCTGGCAGAAGCCCCAGCCCACATTCATTGCCATGAAGGGGACGCAGTGCTGTTGGAGTGTGCTGTGTCTGGGCAGCCCCCGCCGACTGTGGTGTGGTCCCTGAATGGCCAGAGGCTCTATGCTGGTGAGAGGTTGAGGTTTGAGGAAGGCAAGAATGGCGTGTACCGCTTACACATCCAAGGCGCCTCTGTCACAGATGCTGGGCTGTATTGTTGTGTGGCCAAGAATGTGGCTGGAATGACACAGACTGCCTCTGAGCTGATAGTGCAGCCCAGTGCACCCAGGTTGTATAGCAAGGATGGAGGTACTGAGGAGCTGCCTGCCATGGACCATGTTCTAGACCTCGAAGGCCTCAGTACACTTGGGAAGGGTGAAGAGGAACAGCTCACATGCTCCAAGGGGGTGGAAACCCATTTACCTTGGTCCCTGAGGATGTCTTCATCTACTGGTGAGCAGTTGGAAGAGTGTGAGAAAACTCACTTCAGGGAAAGTGTGATGGAGGAAATGATGGTGCTGGATACCATGGAAGCTTGTGCAAGGCAAGAAACAGATTATACAGAAGAAAGTGTGAGGGATACAGATGGTATTTCAGAGATGAGACAGTACCAAGGAAAAGTTGTCTCTGAGGAACACAGCTTTGCAGCAGATGTCACTGAGCTGTACCCCAGCATGTCCAGGGAAGAGCATGAACTGGTGGCCAAGGACTCGGGTCACTTTTCAGAGGAGCTGGAGGCTGAAGGAGACAAGGTGATACCACATAGTCTGTCCTGGGATATTTTTAAGTCACCATTTATGGAAGTGGAAGGGCAAGCACATGCCTCTGAGCAGTCTGCTCTGGCAAGGGAGTGTGAGGACTCACAGTCTTTTGTTCCTATATCACCTGTGGTGCAAGAGAGGAGTGTCCCTGCCTGTGAGGCAACATCTCCTGATGTGCCTCTTGTAGAAAAGCCAAGTATGCCCCACCTGCAGAACAACATTGCAAGCACACCCACAAAGGAGCTGTTTGGTTTTTATAACTTCTGTACAGTGGAGCAACAAGAGGAACATGACAAGGAGCAAGAGAGACCAGCTGATATTGAGCAGGATGCTGAGACTGATGGTCATCTTTGTAAAGAAGAAATGCTTGATGCTGCAGATGTTGCACCCTGTGGAATGCACAATGATGGACAAATGTTGCAAGAAATGGAGTCCGATACAGGCAACTCTTCTTTGGATCTAATCCTCACTTCTCCTGACATAGAAAACTCAGATCAGGACTTTACTGAGGAAGTTGAAGTTCACATAGAAGAAGTGCATTTCAAAGAGCAGCTGTTGCCATCTGAGATTGATGAGATGGATACCAGATTTGATCTGAAGCAATTTGTGGAGCCTTTGCCAGCTGCAGAGACTGTGGCCACAGAACAGGCAGAAACCCCTGCAGCTCTGGAGAGTGTGGAGGTAGGAGTGGCTGGGCTTATCCCCTCTGTGCATCAACATGATGTGCTTGTGGAAGAGATGTCTCTGAGTGAGAAACTGCGTCAGAGCTATAAGATTCAGGAGGAGGAGGAGGTCAGTGCACAGGAAGAGGCACAAACAAGAGAAATCAGAAGGCCTGATTTACAAGTCCCTAATGGGGACCTTGGCAGCATCATGGTAACTGGTGAAGAGGGATCGTCTGCTGAAGAAATTAATGAGCCAGAGGTGAGGATATGTGAGGAAGATTCACCTGAGGGACAAACTCATAGTTTTCTGATGGAGTCTACTGCAGCTTTCCAAAGCGGAATGCAGGAAATGCATGTGTGGGAGCATGGGGAACATCTAGAGACCATAGACTCCCACAGTGACAGCTTCATCAGTGACTTGAAAAAAGCTGCACTTGAAAAGAAACTCACGGTTGGGCATCAGGCTGAGGAGGAAGAAGGTTCTGGGATAGAAAAGGTCTTTGAAACAGGAATGAGCAGCTCCACCTGTGAGATTGAAAGCACAGATTCCCCTGAGGAGGTGCTCAGGGATACCCAACAGGAACCAAACACAACCAAGGGCTTCTCTTTTGGCCAGTTCTTACTTGGTTTAATAATGGATCATCCTGTGGCACAGGAGGAGCAAAAGACAGAGTCTTGTGGCAGTAAGAGGATTCCCACTGAGGAAGCCTCTGATGATAGCCTGGATGAAGAAGGACTATGGAAGGATACTTCTGCAAGTCCAGAGCCCAGTGCTGTTCCACCCTCAAAGCAGAAGCTTGACTTGTCCCTGGCCAAATATTTAAGGTCAACTGGGATGCAGAAAACTCCAGATCTCAAAGGGACAGTTCAGAAGGAGCAGCAAGAGGCCATCACGTCTCTGGAAGTGGAGGAGGTTACCTTCAGCACGGTTTATGACTATTACAACAACCAGCAGGAATTTGCCAGGCCCTTCTCTCCTGAGTCAGAAATGTCTATTGAGCTGCAGAGCGGCAGCGGAGAGGAGTCACCCGATTCAGACCACTTCTACACACCTCCCTCCTCAGTGGAAATCTTTGAAACTGCTTCATCAGCATCCTACTACACACCACTCAGCACACCCGAGCGCTACTCCACACCCTCCGAGGGCTCAGGGTACGGCACGCCGCCCGAGCGCTACTCCACACCCTCCGAGGGCTCAGGGTACGGCACGCCGCCTGAGCGCTACTCCACACCCTCCGAGGGCTCAGGGTACGGCACGCCGCCCGAGCGCTACTCCACACTATCCCAGGATTCAAAATACAACACACCCTCAGAGAGCTACTTCACACCCTGCGGGGTACCCTACTCTGCATCAGGGGACAGCACGCCACCAGAGCGCTACCGAACACCCACGGGGGAGTATGTGGATGCCCTGACCACGCTCCCTCTCTGTGAAAGAAGAGAACAGCCTCCAGACCAGCCGCAGGCTGAGGTGTTTAGGACCCCCTGTGAGGCCCTGGAGCCGTCAGGCAGGGAGGTGCCACCTGCATTCCTCAAGGCGTTGAGTAGGAGGAGGCTGTATAAGGGCAGTACGCTGATCTTTGTGGTGGAGGTGGTGGGTGTGCCTAAACCAGGGGTGGAGTGGTATCGTAATAAATCTCTGCTGGAACTGGATGAGAGAGTGCGGATGGAGAATGATGGGGACAAATATGTGCTGGAGATCACTAACATCCAGAAAACCGATGGAGGGCAGTATCTGTGCCATGCAGTAAACATTGTTGGGGAAGCTAAAAGTGTTGCGCAGGTGGAAGTTTTGTCTGAAGATGAGCAGTCGCTAGCACTGCCACCGCCTGTCACCCACCAGCATGTTATACACTTTGACCTGGAGCAAAACACATCTTCAAGATCACCTTCACCACAGGAAATCCTCCTAGAAGTGGAACTGGATGAAAATGAGGTGAAAGAGTTTGAGAAGCAAGTGAAAATCATAACCAGTCCTGAGTTTAGTCCAGATAAAAAGAGCATGGTGGTTTCCCTGGATGTCCTTCCTCTTGCCTTGTTGGAGCAAGCTGCAGGCTTGGCCATAGAGAATGAGGATGTAAAAATTGATTTCCAAGTAACAGAAATGCCTCCCCGCTTTGCTGTGCCCTTTGCAGATGTCAAGGTGACAGAAGGCTTGGAGGCAGTGTTTGAGTGTGTGGTAACAGGTACTCCTGTCCCAGCGGTGCAGTGGTTCAGAGGTGACACCCGTCTGACACCTGCCACAGGGAAGTATGTTGTGAGTCAGAAAGAGGGATTTCACAGCCTGAAGGTCCAAAACGTAGGTCCTTCTGATGGTGGCTGGTATCACTGTCGAGCAATCAATAAGCTGGGAGAAGCAATGTGCAAAGCCTCAGTCATAGTCGTGGCTCGGCAGGAAGCAAGTGCTAAGGCAAGCAGTGAGAGAATCACAGGCAGCGAACCTCACAGGCCCCAGAAGTGTGACTTGCTTTTGAATACGACTGCGAGCCCAGGTGGCCAGTCAGAAACAGAGCTGGAGTCTGAGTTTGAGCCGCACACAGGTGACTCAGACAGAGCAATCCAACAGCTTGTGGAGACTCAACAAGAGCAGGAAGCAGAAGGGGACAAGTGTGCCAACATTAGTTTTGGTGTGTTTGCAGAGCCATCGCAAGAGGAATGGGTTGAGTTTAGGGCAGAGGACTCAGAGAAGTGCAGCTTTGAATTCCAGGTTACAGAAGCCCCTCCCAAATTTCTGAGGCTCATTTCTGACTGCAGTACATTTATAGGTGCCTCTGCATGCTTCCAATGTCTCGTGACTGGTTCCCCCCCGCCAAGTGTCTGCTGGTACAAAGATGGGGTGTTGTTGGAAGGGGACAGGTACTGTGCACAGGAAGAGCAGGGGGGCTCTCACAGCCTTACTATTGAAAACTTGATGCAAAGTGACAGTGGGCAGTACAAATGTGTAGCTACTAACAGGGCAGGAACTGCTGAGGCTTGTGCTGTGTTAACTTTGTACTAAATTTCCATAATTTATTTTAGAGTCTCTTTTGAAACACTCAGTGTTTTTATGCTATTGTTCACTGCAGGTGAAAATGCAGCACTCGTTTTAGGGGCATTGTTTTTCATCTCTTTAGGGATGAAAATCACTCTATGTGGGCATATTTTTGTCTCACTTAAACTTGATTTCATTGGGGAATTTAAGTGAGATTTAATCTGTGCATAAGTTTTGTGCATAGTTTCTTCACTGATTTATATTTCTGGCTCCTTCCAAGCTCCATACTCTTGTGAAGATATTTTAATTGACACTCATTTATGTAGGACTAGTATTTTCATATTGTGTACATATTCCTGTGTTTCTGTAACCATGAAATCATTGTTGTTTTATGTAGGTTAGAAATCACCTGAAAATGTAGAAACTACTTTTTTTCTTGTAACCTAAAGATATGGAATACAAACTGACACTTATTTAGTTTGGATATAGTTCTGTGAAAGAACTTCCTAAATTGGTATTCCCCCTTCTTACAATGTTGTGTCAGAACATGTGAGTCTCACTCATTCAAATCCTGTGTCTACAGTTTCTATCACTGCAAAATTCTTACATCCCTCGGCTTTCATTCTTACTGACTCATGGAATTAAATTACGTTTTTTTTTCTTTTTTTTGAAGTTAATGGAATTATGCTGTTGCAAAAAAAAAGCAACACAATGGGAAGAAAGTGAAAGTTTTGCATTAGTGGAGACTGGACAGGATTTTTTATCTATTACCAAGTAATAAAAATGAAAATATATTTTGTACTCTATCTTTAGAAGTTAAAGGGAAAGTAGAAGGAGCATATTAAATCAATGCTGTAACTGTAAATCCATTAAAATAATTTTGGTTGTCCCCATATTCCAGTCTCATGCATAAAAAATACACAGTCATAAAAACATGAGAGATTTTTGTGCAGTTTTCTTGTTTCACATTAGAACTAAATCTCTAGATATTCCTGTTTTCTTTTTTTTTTTAATAGTAGCAGTTAAGTGTGCTTTGTGTCAAGATGACCAGAAATAAGTAGAATACATTCAATTGTTGATCTGTGTCATTTTTCTCACCAGAAGAGATTTTTGCATTAATGTTCTCAATGTGAGTATATATTTTTGCGTTTAAAATAATGCTAATACTTAGGAGCAGGAATCAGCAGTATCTGGCTTAAATCAGAATTAAATCTATCTTACATAAACAATGATAATTTGATTAAGAAAATACATTAAAAGTATGAAAGCTATTAATTAATGTTTATCAGAATTTACCTCTCATGTATGTGCCAGCTTTCCAGTTACCTATATGCCAAGGCTGAAAATTGAGTTCAACAAGCCTGAGTAAAAATTATTTTTACTTTGATTACCTGTTCATGAAGTTCTTCCAATTATTTACAAATTGCTGCCAGTCACCTGGCAAACTTTAAGGAGCAGGTTGATTTTAAGCATAAAAGAACTGTTTCTATAGTACATTCAGTTATGTTCATGCATGTTCTTATTTCTGAGTTTGAAGTGTCCTCACACTGAGGTCAGCATGCTTCAAGAACTCAATAATCTTCTAAGACTATCCCCTCACTCACCTGGGAGAGTAATTTTTGATCAAAAGATTGACTTGGTCCAAATATGTTGATCAATACCAACTTAAAGTTAAGGGTGGCAAGTTCTAATGATCCAGTACATGGGGAAAATTACTCGAATGGTTAGGCTAATACCAGTGTATCACTTCAGTTTCTTCCCAGTCATGCCCCTGTGATAAATATTTAAGATGTTACGTTGTTAAAAGGCAGAAATAGTAATGATTTCTCATAGGTAATGATTATGGGAAAGAGAAGCATGAGTGTCTGACCCAGTGTTGTTCTGGGAAAGGGTTGCTTCTTGATGGGTCTTTAATCTGTTACTTGTGTACATGTGTAGCACTTACTGATTTGTTAGACAGCAGATGTCCCTGGGGACATTGGCATGGATTGTCTGATGCTATATGTCAGTTGTGACATGAGGGGTCTTTTAGGTCCAAAGCCAAAGAAGGCAGAGCCCCTTTGGTTAGGTCCTATGCAATTATGATTTGTGTTTAATTTGCACATAAACAAACTGAAGTTTTTAGTAGCAACAGGCCCATGACTTCTTTTTAAAATCATAAACCAAAATGGTCCAAGTTCATGTTCACATCTGAAATGTATGGCCAAGCATCTTTACCTCTACCTGTGTAGTAGTGTTTGTGGTTTATGTAAGTTTAAAAGTCTTGTTTTAAGTTTTATACTTTAGCCAGGAGCACTATCCTGTACTTATGGAGAAACAAAATCTCACTTAAGCTATAATGATATAAATCTGGAGTAATTCTAGTTTTGAATAAACTTACTCTGGGGCAATTGGTATAGTTTAGAGTCATGATTGATCATGTCTCTTCAAAATTTTATGCTTTCATAGGAATTACAAAACTCACAATTTCATTGTCAGGTTTAATGTTGTCTTCATTTCTACAAACCAAATATTTCAAAATAAGGATGAATTATGTTTATTTGTCATCAATGTGTATTGAATGTTAACATGTATGGTTAATTTGTGAAATAAATATGTAAATTCTTTAAGTCTACCTATTCCTGTAATTATTTATTTCACAGGCATAACTAAAATATGAAAAAAGTATTTGTCTAGTTTTTCTGTTATAAATATCCAGGAATACAAAAAAAGTTTGTTAATTTTTGCCACACTCCTGTATATAAATCATTCTTGTGTGTGTTCGGATAGATTCCATTCTGCAATTCTTCTGCTTTTCTATGGGCCCAATTCTGCCACCCTTTATCAAATTCACTAGCACATTGTATTTCTGCCCTACTGTTTTAACAAGGCTGGCAGGTAATACTGAAGGATTGGTGTAGTTTTTTGTTAGTTGATCACTGTATGCAATGTGCTATGTCATATTTGTTATGGTATTTGTGGTAAGATTAATAATTACTAAAACAAATGAGAATGAATTGGGTATGGCATACTCTAGTTTTTGTAGTTGTTATTGGAGTGCAGCATAAATTATCTCACAATGAGTTTTGGAACTTAAGGCACTGTGACTGAAAAACTTGTCAAGGTTCACCATTGCAGTGCCTGGAGACATTTTTTCACTCACACTTCTTTTATTCCTTTTCAACAACTCTCATATCTTTCAAGTGTCAAATACTGTGGGCCTTAACTGTGTAAACTTGACTCAGTAAGGACACCAGCATTTGATTTCCAAGGATTTTTCTTTGCGCCGTGCTTTTCATGGGTGGCTTGTTCTGTTCCTGGAAGTCTGAGATTTCACTGATGTTTCTCATATGAAGCGTCTGCAGAGAATGACATATTCTTGACATCTGCTTCCTTTAGAACAAAGCAATCTAACACATAAATGTCTAAATTCAAAAAGGCAAGAAAAAGAATGTCCAAGTGCTCTGCCCTCTTTTTTGCTGGTATAGTAGGAGTTTTAATATGCAACATTGTGAGAGGGAGGAGTTTAAAAATCGATTTAAATCAATTACATTAAATCAAGGTTGCAAACACATTATTTTTAGTAGTACTGATGTTGTAAGTATAAGGGTCGAATGACAAAAGTGCGAGAAAGCTAGTTAAGGAGAGTTAATATCTTTGCATGCTAGACAAAAGATAGAGACTTCAGTTGTGTCTGTGAAATGCATCAATGCTGCTTGACTGTTATATGCACTGTATGCCCTGGGGGTATGCCTAACCCTTACTGTGATGTCAGGTTGAAAGAGATAGCTATATTGATCCAGATGGGAAGTTCATAAGTAACCTGACAACACAGTATGTCTTACTGTTTTTGTTAGGTGTGTATTTAAAAGCAAGAGGACCTCATGTTTATTGTTAACTGCTGTTAACAATAAACATGTTAGTGCTGTTGCACTAACACTGTTACTGTCTACAAGTATTCTCTTAGACATTCTAGTAAAACTAAACAATTTTTTCCCATACAGACATTGCTAGCTCTTTTAGTGTGTCTTCTGAGGATGGAAGAAGCAAAGGCTACAGCAGCTGCCTTCAGTTGCCTGAGAGAGAGAAAACACTTGAATTTGAGCCTGAAAAACCAGTTTATTCCAGCAAAGCAAAGATGGAAACAGAGGAGGGGAGCAAAGCCCCTGTTTTCCTCAAAGAGGTTTCAGATGTTGAAGTCTTTCAGGGAGATGTAGCTAGGCTCTCTGTTACTGTTACTGGCAGCCCCACACCCAAAATCCAGTGGTTTTTCAACAGTATGAAGCTAACTCCGTCCATGGACTGTAAGTTAGTGTTTGCTGGCAATGACCACAGCCTCATCCTTCCATACGCAGGTGTGCAGGATGAGGGTGAGTACACGTGCGTGGCCAGCAATGTGCACGGCGAGACGGCGTGCAGCGCCCAGCTCCGCGTGCGGCAGCGGCTGCCAGGGCTCCCTCGCTTTGCC